AGGCCCCGCCCCCAAAAGGGAAAACCTCTAAAAAAAAAAAAAGAAAAGAAAAAAAAAAGTCAGTCATGGGGCCAGCAGGTGGTATGGTGGTTGAGGCTCTGGACTCCCACATGGCCAACTGCAGTTCAATTCCTGGACCTAGTGGTTTGCTTTCTCACTTACTCCCTCTCTCTCTGGTCAAATTAAAAAATAATAATAATAAATAAAAAATTAAATGAATAATTTTTTTTTTTAAAGATAAGTAGACCACTAAACACAGCCTATATATACTACAGAGAGAAATGAGGCTCCAAACTTTTCTTTGATTTTGTTTGGTTTGGTTTTAGTTTTGCTGTAGGTTGAGTTCACTCTGGAGACAGAGAAAGAGAGAGAGGTAGGAAAAGTGAAAAATCATCCCTGGATGGAGGACCATTCCACAATCCCTTTTCCCTTCTCCTCTTCGGATTTTAGGCACACATGTACATACTCCCAGCATATTTTTAAGCCACCAGGTCTGGGACTCTAACCGCCCAGTTGCCCATCTGGGATCCAGCTGCCTTAACCTCCACACCACCTTTTGAAGAGAGGAGTATCAAAGAATATGTGGACATGTCTTAAAAACCATCATAAAAAGTGTGCTTCCCTCTCACCTTTCTCCTCTCACTACCCAGTTCCTGAATCTAGAGACAACCTCTGTTAACAGAAGGAAAGATATTTTTGAAGTATTCTCTTCCAAGCAACTAGCTTAGTAATCAGCTTTAAATGTCATGTGTAGTCTCTGGTGAGTCAGCTTAGTTAGAGCATATTGTTGAGGAGGCCAAGGTCAAAAGGGCCTAAGTTCAAACCAGTTAATATTGTTGTGTTCGCTAGTCATAAAAGGTAGCCGGTATCCCAGGCAACCATTATGCAAATGCTAGTTATCAGTCTTGCTGGAAAGGAAACGCTGGGAGAGGAGTAGAATGACGTGTCAGTACACATTCATGATTCAAAAGCCGTGGAAATAATGTATTCCCTGAAGTTGAGTAGGGAGCATGATAGGCTATGGGGATTAAGAGAGCACATTGAGGGACCAGCAGGTAGCATGGTAAATGGCAAGCAATCATCAGCCTGAATTGATCCTTGCAACCTAGAATGCCTACCTGAACAAAATTAAATGTTTATTGTGTCTGATCCATTGTATTCTGTTTACTACACTAGTTTAACCTACTGTAATTAATACAGGCTGTATACCTAAGTAGTAAAAATAAGAGAGCAACAAAATGATTATTATAAAATTCAGTAGATTTGTTGACCTCTAGGGTCTAGGGAAGAAGACATGATTCTTACAAGTAGAATTTTTGAGTCAGTACATATATAAATTTTGAGTTTTGACTAACTGTTTCTAGATTGTACAAGTAGTCAATACCAATTAATGTCTACTTTGGTAGAATCTGAGAGTTCTCCTTCTTATATACCTTTGTCAGCATAATTTTAAGTGTTGTTGACCATCCAGTTGGAGATAATCTAGCACATAGTTGGGAATATTGAACTAGAGCAAATCAAGTGCATCTGAGTCTGTGATTTTAACCACTCTGCCACACAGCCTCTCTCTGCCTACAGAGGATACCTGGCTGTTGGAAAAAGGATTAACAATGGCATTAAGGTAAAGTCTTGCGAGGCCTGCAGGTGGTGTGGTAGTTAAGGGCACTAGACTCCCACAGGACTGACCATGGTTCAAGTTCCAGACCTGGCAGCTTGCTTTCCCCTTTTCCCTCTCTTTCTCTGTCTCTCTCAGTCTGTCCCTCTCTGGTCAAATTAAAATAAATATTCACAGGGTTTTTTTTGTTTGTTTGTTTGTTTGTTTTTTGTAAAGATCTGTTTTATTTCTACTGGGGAAAGAGGAGGATAAATAGAACTGTTTTCCAATTTGCTTTCCACTGTATACACACATACTCACACACATACATACACACACATTCACCAAAAATACCCTAACAACAACAACAAAAAAATCAAAAACCAAAACACCCTCGAGCTGCACCAATACTTCATATTTTGACCAAAAGAATAGATCGTGGGAGGAAGTGCAAAATGCAGAATCAAATGACCAAAAAATGCTGAATAAACAGCATTATTAATATACAAAATATTTATATTACTGAACTAGTAACAGGTGATGTTCTCCGTGTCTGTAAAACTTTGGAACCACGTAACTGATTTGTTAAATCTAGTCCATGCCAGCTTCCAAAACCAGAAAAGATTTTAGTTAGCTTCGTTCTTTGATGCCTCATCAAAGTTTTCTACAAGATCTGGAACATCGTCATCCTCTTCATCGATGTCTTCTGGTTTTGGTGCTTTGCTATCCAAGACTTGCTGTGGGAACTGTTCAGCTAATTTCCTAAGGCTTGTTAAGCTGTCTGCACCAAGCTGACTTAATATTCCAGGAAGCATTTCTGTGATTGGTTTGGCTTCTGCATGACCAGTAATTGCAAAGGTATTAGCAGACTCTTTCCCCCTATCTGGACCTGAGCCTGAATTTTGACTAACTTTTCTTGATTCATGCTGTTGGTAAATCTGAAGCAGGGAGGGTCCTCCAACACCAGCATGCGGAAAGAACCAAGAAAGTTTTTTTTTTTTAAAAGGTTCTTAAAAAAAAAAAAAAAGATAAAATTATACTCTGTAGAGCAAAATTCACAGGTATCCCCTCTATATAAGTTCAATGACAGAACATATTTTAGGACAGATTTTCTTTTGGAATACCTGTATCACTCGATTGCTTATACTATAAATAGTTGCTGAATATTGACACATCATACTTTCTTTTTCGCTTTCAGTATTCTTACATTGCTTTAATGGTAGATTCTGAGGTACTGTTTTCTTTTCAGAGAAACCATGCCAGATGGATCATCTGGATCGAATCCTACTGTCTGGCATCTATAACGTACGCAAGGGAAAGACCCAGCTGCATAAGTGGGCTGAACGCCTCGTTGTTCTCTGTGGTACCTGCCTTATTGTCTCCTCAGTGAAGGATTGTCAGACTGGAAAAATGCACATTTTGCCTCTGGTTGGAGGAAAGGTAAGACTTGCAAAAGTGAATTGGTGTTCATTTGATTATCTTTAAAAAATTTTTTTTTAATTGTCAAGAGAGAAAGAGACAGAATACTCTCCTGTGGAGTGTAGTCACAGCACAATCCCTCCTCCATTTCTCATTTTATTGAGGTTTTGGGCCACATCCATGTACCATGTTTTTCAGACCTCCAGGGCTGGGATTTGATCCACATAGTTGGCCATGTGGGGATCTAGCTCCCTTAGCCACTATGTCATGGGGCCAGCCCTAATTTACTTTCTTTCTCTATAGACTTACCAATTCTAGATTTTTTGTTTATTTGTTTTTTAATTTCAAGAGGCAAACTCCCAACAGGGCTTTGTTATGTTATGGTCCTGCCCCAAGCCTTCCAGCCAGCTAAGATGATGCATGTGCCCATGGGTACACCTGGTGTGTTCAGGTAGACCTGGGACTGAACTCCAAACCTTCCCTTATGGCTCCAGTATTACACAGTGGTTCCTTCCCTCCTGCGCTACTGCCTAATTCTGGACATTTCATATGAATGGAGTTGTAAAATACATGGTTCTTTGTTATTGGCTTCTTTCATATAAAATTATGTTTTTGAAGTTCATCCATTTTACAGCATGTATCAATACTTTGTTCCCATTCTTGGCTAAGTAAGAGTCTGTTGTATGGTATACCTCATTCTGCTTATGCATTCATCTGCGACTGGACACCTGGCTGTTCCTACTTTTTAGTTATTATGAATAATGCCACTGTGAACATTCATGTACAGGTTTTTGTGTGGACGTGTGTTTTCAGTTCTCTTGGCTGTAAATGTAGGAGTGGAATTTCTGGGTCATACAGTGACTGTATATTTACCCTTTTGAAGAACTGCCATATGTCTCAGAATTTAGCTGTCGAGAGATGTGAAGTGATAGCTCATTATAGTTTTTTTTTTTTTTTTTTTTTGAGAGAGATTTTTGTTATAGAGACAGAAAATGAGAAATCACCCTCCTGTGGGGATGGCCACACTGCAGCCCCTTCTTCTCAATTCTCCTCTTGAGGTCTTGTGCATGCACACACATGTGCCCGGTATGAGTTTTAAGCTGCTGGGTCCGGGACTTAAATTGCGGTCTACTACATGAGAGTCCAGTGATGTAAACATTACGTCATCTACTGGTCCTTCACTGTAATTTTGATTTGCATTTCTCTAATGATTAATGATGTTGAACACCATTTTATGTGCTTACTGGCCATTTGTATATCTTCTTTGGAGAAAAGTTTATTTATCTTTTGCCTGTTCCTTTTTAATCAGATTTTCGTCTTGTTATTGCATTCAATGTTTTGGGTAGGAATTTTTTCAGTGGTTCTGATTTTTGTCCCCTCTCTTTCTTCAGATAGAAGAAGTGAAGCGACGACAGTATTCTCTTGCATTCAGCTCAGCTGGAGCCCAAGCTCAGACCTATCATGTCAGCTTTGAGACTTTGGCTGAGTACCAGAGGTGGCAACGGCAAGCATCCAAGGTGATGAGTTGTCCAGTGTCCTGATACAGAGATAAGAATGCAGACACCCAGTAGAGATGCATTTTTGAAACTGAACTTACCCCAAAGAGAGTGAATCATAATTCTGAATTTCCTCTCTAGGCTCTTTGAGTATATAATGAATAAAATCATGACAGTCCACCAGGTCCTTAATGTATTATGTATGTTTACATAGTATAGAAGGTGGTCAGCAGTGTTTTTAGGTGCATTTACCCCCCACATCTTCTCAGTGAGATAGTTTTAGAAGGAATTAAAATGTAATGAGATTTGACCCTTGAAGGAATTAAGACGCAGTAAGATGTAAGTGATTTTCCCTGGACCGTAGTAGTCAGTTAGAATTGGATCCCTTCTCTAATTTGTAGCCTAGTGTTGCTTAGTATATCTGTATTTAGAACAGGCTTCATAAACCACTTCAAATTTGAACTTTTTTCCGGTAGAGGTTTTTGCTATAGGGCACGTGCGATCACCAGAAAGACAGAGAGAAAGAAAGCAGGAAATCACCCCCCAAGGGGGATGACCATGCCACAATCCCTTCTCCATTCTCCTCTCGGGATCTTGGGCATGCATGCATATGTGCCCAGCATGAATTTAAGCCACTGGGTCTGGGGCTCAAACCATGGTCGACTACATGGGAGTTCAGCGACATAGCCATTGTGCTAACTGCTGGTCCCAATTCGAACTTATTTTTTTATTTTTCTTTTTTGCAGAGGTTTTAGCTATAGGGCACATGCGCTCGCCAGACAGAGAGATAGAAAGAAAGTGAGAAATCACCCCCCAGGGGTGATGGCCACGCCGCAATCCCTTCTCCTCCATTCTCCTCCCGGGATCTTGGGCATGCACGCACACGCGCCCAGCGTGAGTTTTAAGCCACCAGGTCCAGGACGCGAACCATGGTCGACTACATGGGAGTCTAGCGACATAGCCATTACTCTAACTGCTGGTCCCTCCAATTCGAACTTATTGATGGGACAGTGACTTGTAATACTGTCACAAACCATTACCCCTGTATACTGAGGATAATTAGATTTTCTTTGTAATTTCAAGGTTAAAACCTTTAAAGACGAACTGTTGTAAAAGTGTAGTGTGATTTCCAAATCCTCTTGTTCTCCTAGCCATCTGTGCAGAATTTTGCACGTAGGATTGTTAAGTATAGTGCCCGCAAAACACGGATGTCTTTTCTTAGTGATATATTGTGTTTTTAGATCCATTTTTGCAATTCACATTTTATTAGCATACTATCATAGAAATGTAAACCTTTGATTTTATTGAATTTTTTTCATTATATCGTGTTGGTTATATAGCCTGCTGTAACTAAAAGTGGTTTCAGTCATATATAGCTATCCCATTCCTTTTGACCCTTTTACAGAGAATTTTATGGAGAAATTTGTTTTGTTTTGTTTTAAGAGAGAGATTTTTGCTATACGGTGCTTGTGCTCACTGGAGAGACAGAGAAACAGAAAGCGAGAAATCACCCCTTAAGGGGATGACCATGCCATGCCACAATTCCTTCTTCTCCATTCTCCTCTTATGATTTTGGGCATACACGCACACGTGTCTGGTGTGAGTTTTAAGCTGCTGCATCTGGGACTTAAACTGCGATCGACTATGGGAGTCCAGCGATGTAACCATTATACCATCTGCTGGTCCTAAGAAATTATTTTTGAGCATCTTTTGTGGGTTCTGCAGTATGTTGTGTGCTTGGTTATTTAATTGTATCCTCATAACAGATGAAGAAAGTGTGTTAGTAAGTACCAGAGCCAGTGTGTCTACGAAAGGCCATGTCTTTTCAACATTCTGCTTCCTGAAGTTTTATATAGTCATTCTGATTCATCTTAATGTGACTTCTCCCATTCACGATTCACTTTCCATTTTATTATTTATTTTATTTTATTTTTTTACCTTTTACTTATAGAGACTACAATTTATGTTTTTTTTTCCTCAAGCAGCTTATAGTTTTCAGGAAAAATCAAAATTAACTAGTTGCTATAAATGAACAACTGAGTTTCATCACCTTTTTTTTCCTTCTCTGTCTTTCTTTTATTTTATTTTTTTGCCATAGGACATGTACGCTTACCAGAGACAGAGGGAGACAATGAGAAGGAGAGACAATGAGAGAGAAAGTGAGAAATCATCCCCCAGGGGTTATGACCATGCTGTAATCCCTTCTCCTCCATTCTTCTGGGATTTGGGCTACACACTTACATGTGTGTAAGTGTGAGTTTCAAGCCACTAGGTCCAGGACTTGAACCATGGTTGGCCATGTGGGATTCTAGCAACTTAATTACCGTGCCACCTGCTGGCCCCTCTTCACTGATTTTTTAATCAGTGCCTTTTGTGTAAATGCCCTTCTGTTGTATGCTGGGTGATAGACATTCAGGGCTAGCTCAGAAGGCTCTTCTCTTTGGCTCATTCAGGTGGTGTCCCAGCGAATCAGTACTGTGGATCTCTCATGTTACAGCCTGGAGGAGGTCCCTGAGCATCTCTTCTACAGTCAAGATATCACCTACCTCAACTTGCGACACAACTTCATGCAGTTAGAAAGACCAGGGGGCCTCGACACACTCTACAAGTAGGTGGAAAATGGATTTCCAGATTATTATGTTAAAACTGAATTGTAATCAATATCTTTTTTTTTTTTAATTATTTTTAGTTTTATTGAGGGACTGCTATCATCATTATCATTTGAAAACCTTGTTCCAACCCAAATGTCCATGAACAGATAAATGGATTGAAAATGCATGGCACACATACACTATGTAATACTACTCAGCCATAAAAAGCAATGAGACTCTGGATTTGATATAAAGTGGACAAATATGGAAGATTTATTGTTAAGCAAAGCAAACCAGACTGTAAAACAGAGGCAGTGTATATTCCCACTCAAAATATACTGAATGTCTGTACTCTATGGGAGAAACTGAAAGACTGAGAGATACAAAAGCATGGAGAACAATCGTGGATACAAGAGACAGTGTAGGAGGAGGGTGGGAAATAGGAGAGGGTGAAAGGAAGGGAATAAATGGGAAAAAGAAAGAAGCAAAATATTTAAAGGACATGAAAAAGGAAAATTATCTGTTGATGATAAAGTGTGTGGTATCTTTAACTGGACTAGTATGCAATGGATTCATGCTGGGAAATTTACATGCTGTAATGATATACAGTGCTTGAATATATAAAATAAATTTATATATTCAATATTACATATTGAATATATAATATATCAATATATTCAAAGAAAAAGTTGTTGCAAGAATTAAATGGCTTCTTTTTTGTTTTTCTATAGGGAGTGTGCACTTGCTGGAGAGAGACAGAAACAGAGAAAGGAAGAGAGGAAGTAGAAAACCACCACCCCTGGAGCAGGGGGTGATGAGCAAACCAAAGTCCATTCTCCTCCATTCTCCTCTTGGAATTTTGGGCATGCACACACACGTTCCCAGCATGAATTTAAGCCACTGGGTCTGGGGCTCAAACCATGGTCGACTACATGGGAGTTCAGCGACATAGCCATTGTGCTAACTGCTGGTCCCAATTCGAACTTATTTTTTTATTTTTCTTTTTTGCAGAGGTTTTAGCTATAGGGCACATGCGCTCGCCAGACAGAGAGATAGAAAGAAAGTGAGAAATCACCCCCCAGGGGTGATGGCCACGCCGCAATCCCTTCTCCTCCATTCTCCTCCCGGGATCTTGGGCATGCACGCACACGCGCCCAGCGTGAGTTTTAAGCCACCAGGTCCAGGACGCGAACCATGGTCGACTACATGGGAGTCTAGCGACATAGCCATTACTCTAACTGCTGGTCCCTCCAATTCGAACTTATTGATGGGACAGTGACTTGTAATACTGTCACAAACCATTACCCCTGTATACTGAGGATAATTAGATTTTCTTTGTAATTTCAAGGTTAAAACCTTTAAAGACGAACTGTTGTAAAAGTGTAGTGTGATTTCCAAATCCTCTTGTTCTCCTAGCCATCTGTGCAGAATTTTGCACGTAGGATTGTTAAGTATAGTGCCCGCAAAACACGGATGTCTTTTCTTAGTGATATATTGTGTTTTTAGATCCATTTTTGCAATTCACATTTTATTAGCATACTATCATAGAAATGTAAACCTTTGATTTTATTGAATTTTTTTCATTATATCGTGTTGGTTATATAGCCTGCTGTAACTAAAAGTGGTTTCAGTCATATATAGCTATCCCATTCCTTTTGACCCTTTTACAGAGAATTTTATGGAGAAATTTGTTTTGTTTTGTTTTAAGAGAGAGATTTTTGCTATACGGTGCTTGTGCTCACTGGAGAGACAGAGAAACAGAAAGCGAGAAATCACCCCTTAAGGGGATGACCATGCCATGCCACAATTCCTTCTTCTCCATTCTCCTCTTATGATTTTGGGCATACACGCACACGTGTCTGGTGTGAGTTTTAAGCTGCTGCATCTGGGACTTAAACTGCGATCGACTATGGGAGTCCAGCGATGTAACCATTATACCATCTGCTGGTCCTAAGAAATTATTTTTGAGCATCTTTTGTGGGTTCTGCAGTATGTTGTGTGCTTGGTTATTTAATTGTATCCTCATAACAGATGAAGAAAGTGTGTTAGTAAGTACCAGAGCCAGTGTGTCTACGAAAGGCCATGTCTTTTCAACATTCTGCTTCCTGAAGTTTTATATAGTCATTCTGATTCATCTTAATGTGACTTCTCCCATTCACGATTCACTTTCCATTTTATTATTTATTTTATTTTATTTTTTTACCTTTTACTTATAGAGACTACAATTTATGTTTTTTTTTCCTCAAGCAGCTTATAGTTTTCAGGAAAAATCAAAATTAACTAGTTGCTATAAATGAACAACTGAGTTTCATCACCTTTTTTTTCCTTCTCTGTCTTTCTTTTATTTTATTTTTTTGCCATAGGACATGTACGCTTACCAGAGACAGAGGGAGACAATGAGAAGGAGAGACAATGAGAGAGAAAGTGAGAAATCATCCCCCAGGGGTTATGACCATGCTGTAATCCCTTCTCCTCCATTCTTCTGGGATTTGGGCTACACACTTACATGTGTGTAAGTGTGAGTTTCAAGCCACTAGGTCCAGGACTTGAACCATGGTTGGCCATGTGGGATTCTAGCAACTTAATTACCGTGCCACCTGCTGGCCCCTCTTCACTGATTTTTTAATCAGTGCCTTTTGTGTAAATGCCCTTCTGTTGTATGCTGGGTGATAGACATTCAGGGCTAGCTCAGAAGGCTCTTCTCTTTGGCTCATTCAGGTGGTGTCCCAGCGAATCAGTACTGTGGATCTCTCATGTTACAGCCTGGAGGAGGTCCCTGAGCATCTCTTCTACAGTCAAGATATCACCTACCTCAACTTGCGACACAACTTCATGCAGTTAGAAAGACCAGGGGGCCTCGACACACTCTACAAGTAGGTGGAAAATGGATTTCCAGATTATTATGTTAAAACTGAATTGTAATCAATATCTTTTTTTTTTTTAATTATTTTTAGTTTTTGCTATAGGGTGTTTGCATTTACGAGAGAGAGAGAAACAGAGAAAGAACGTGAGAAATCACCCTCCAGAGGGTTGACCATCCCACAGTCCCTTCTCCTCTTGGGATTTTGTACATGCATACACATGCACTCTGTTCTTTAAGCTGCTGAGTCTGGGACTCAAACTGTTTAGTCACCCATACAGGATCTAGCTGCCGTCACCACCATGTCACTGGCTAGTGCCCACCTGTAAGTGAGCATACTTAACTGTTGTGTGTGTGTGTGTATTATAAATATAAAACAAGATTGATCTGTTATGGTGGCAACAGTGAGTGCCATTGCTGTGGGTAATCTTGTCATATTAATTATTTGGCAATAATGCATTATTTGCAGCCAGTGTGGACAGTGAAATTCAATTCATGAGAAGTTTTTTTTTTTTTTTTTAATCAGAAGTGTCAAATATAAATAACTTAAGGGAGATAGATCTCTTTTCAAGAATTCTAGTCCCAGAGGCAGGACTTTATCTTTCCTTGGTACCTGTTCCTGTCGTGTCCGAGCCTTTCATTAGCTATCAAACCTCTCTTTTCTAATAAAGGCAACATTTTACCCCTACACCATTGAGACCTACATATTTTTTCATCTCCTTTGTTAGAATTTATTCTCCATTTCTCTCCTCTATCTGTTGGACTTTATTTCTCATTTTAAAAATGGAAGACAGTGCTCTCTCCTCCTTTCTTGGTCTCTCTCATCTCTTTGTCTCCCTGGCAAGTACACATCCCCTCTGGCAAAATAAATTAATGAATGAAATTTTAAATGGATGGCAGTGGGGACCAGCAGATAGTGTAATGGTTACATCACTGGGCTCCCACATAGCCGACTGTGGTTCAAGTCCTAGACCCAGTGGCTTGAAACCCAGGGCAGGCATGTATGTGTGTGTGCCCAAGATCCCAGGAGAAGAATAGAGGAGAAGGGATTGTGGCATAGCCATCACCTCCCTTGGTGGTGGTGGGGGGGGATTTCTTGCTTTCTGTCTGTCTGATAGGCACACACACCCTATAGCAAAAATCTCTCTAAAAAAATTGATGACAGAGAATGAATAACGTGGCATAAGTAGTTGCCTGAGTTTCTGGTAGGGAAGGGAGGAATTGGAAATCAAAGCATTCAAGCTAGTTTCAATTACATGTGATTCAAAAATGATACACATTGAAATGGCATATTTTACCTACTTCCTTAATAGTAATGCTAGAGTAATTTTCAGAAAACATTGTGATTTCTCTCTCATCAGATAATATATTTTAAAAAGATTTCAAGTTTAGGCCTATATTTAGTAACGATAGTTATTTTACCACTACTGGTATATAAAACTGAAAATAAGCTATAATTTTAAGGATTTGATTTCTAGTATTTCTTTCTGAGTTACTCTGAAAATAGAATTAATTCACTTAGAGGGTATAATTAGAAATTCTTAAGTCAAGGCACCAAGCCAGAGGGACAGTAAATAATCAAGGTCAGGTTGATTATTCTCAATATCAAGCTGATTATTGGGAATCAAAAGTTGGGAATTTGGAGGAGAGTGAGGTTTCAAGAATTCAGATCTAGAAGCAGGTAATATAGATGGTCACCGTGGACAATAACGCCTCATCTTTACCCTTTTGCACTTAGTAAAGTCAAGTTTAATGCTCTTAAGGAGAGTTACCTGAGTGACTCAGTGGGCTAGCTCACAAGCGTTTTCGTTTTAGGATGACACTGTCTCTGGATAAGACAATTCACAAGCGTTTTCGTTTTAGGATGACACTGTTTCTGGATAAGACATTATTTTTATTTACTTATTTATTTATTTGGTCATAGGACATGTGCACTTGCCAGAGTGGGACAGAGAGACAGAGGGAAAGTGAGAAATCGTCCTCCAGAGGGGATGACCACACCTCAATTCCTTCTACTCCATGTTCCTCCTGGAATTTTGGGCATATACACATGTGCCCAGTGTGATTTTCAAGCTGCCAGGTCCAGGACTTGAACTGAGGTCGGCCATGTAGGAGTCCATTGTCGTAACCACCATGCCACCTGCTGGCCCAAGACAGTATACTTTTGCTGCTACAAACAAAATAGAAGCACTAAAAATTACCATTTGATGCTATTTATCAGATCATATTACAGTAAAATGCTGTCATGTACATATTTTCAAGCCCTAACTGGTCCAATTTATTTATGAAAAAATAAGTTGTTTATAGGGCCAATAGGTGGCATGGTTATTGGGGGCGCTGAGATCTCATAGCCGACTGCTGTTCGGGTCCTGGACCTGGCAGCTTGCTTTCTCGCTTTCCCTCTCTCTTTCTCTGTCCTCTCTGATGAGCTCATGCGCCCTATGGCAAGTTGAAAAATAATAATAATGATAAATAAAATTAAGTAAATAATTCTTTTTAAAGAAAGAAGTTGCTTATAATGGGATTTGATATACATACTTGTTAACTGTTTCTGTGTCTATAAGTTGATAAATTCTTACACGGCTTTTATATATTACATGTAGAAATTTATAATGGAAAGGATGTTAAGCATATAAAGTATGACTGATACAAAAGAATCGTACCTGCATAAGCTGTTCTTCAAGATTTGCTGCCTTTTTAAGAAGAGAGAATTCCCATTACACTCGACCTGGTTTCCTTGACACCATGGACTATGTGTGTCCTCTGTGCTCCCACAATGTTTGACATATAATGAGTCCTCAATATTTTTGGAAAAAATTCTATGATGGACATTTAAAGTAGATAAGTTAAAATTGATCATCAAAGGCTATTGATGTCCCTTGTAAAGATACAGGAACAGATTTATTGAAATGTAGTATGAATTTTTGCCTTTGCTCTTTAGATTTTCTCAACTGAAGGGCCTGAACTTGTCCCATAATAAACTTGGGTTATTTCCTGTCTTGCTGTGTGAGATCTCCACCCTGACAGAGCTCAACCTTTCCTGTAATGGATTTCATGACCTGCCGAGTCAGATTGGCAATCTGCTCAAGTAAGTATCTGAATATTACTAAATTGCTTTATTCCCTTGCAGAAGAAGGAACTTGTCTGGCATTTGGAATGGAGGTAGTACCATAGGCTCTTGCAGCGAAATAAATGATGCAATTATTAGGATTGTAGTCAGCAGCAGTTTATGACGCCAGACAACTCTGCCTACAGCAGTGACTGACTAATCCCTTCACCTGAACAGCGGAGGTCCTGATTCTTTTGGATAGACCTTCCATAAAGGTTTTATACAAGTCCTCTTCTATTAAGTCTCTTGAGATGGCAAGCTAGGATGTTTTACCACTTGAGGATTGATAATAAATGAGTGACGTAAGTCAGAACCGTAGCTCCAGTTCTGTCCAGCCCAGTGAAACTGCTCATAAATTAGACTTGCTTTGTTTTCTCTCTAGTCTTCAAACCCTCTGCCTTGATGGCAACTTTCTGACTACTTTACCTGAAGAATTGGGAAACCTGCAACAGCTCTCCTCCCTGGGAATTTCCTTCAACAACTTTAGTCAGATTCCCGAGGTTTATGAGAAACTCACTGTATTAGATAAAGTGGTTATGGCAGGAAACCGCCTGGAAGTCCTAAACCTGGGGGTGCTCAACCGGATGAGCCACATCAAGCATGTGGATTTCAGGTAAGGTCACTTGTTACCGCATCTCCTCTAGATTAATACTGATAATCTAGGGCTTTATGGGCCAGCAGATGGCTTAGCGGTTATGTCGCTGGACTCCCACATAGCCGACTATGGTTTGCGTCCCAGACCTGGTGGCTTGAAAGTCACGTAGGGTGTGTGTGTGCATGCCTAAGATCCAAGGAGGAGAATGGAGAAGGAGTTCTCACTTTCCCTCTCAGTGTCTCTGTCTCTCTCTCTATAGTGATGCACATGCCCTAAGGCCAGACACCCCAGAAAAAGAAAATTAGGATTTTAGAAGTGAAGGGAGTGGATATTTTCAGTCACTTATCACTCAGGAGCAGTGCGATTAAGGACCAGGTAGAGACAATCATACTGCCTTTCGCACAGGTTATTCTGGCTCCTCTCCAGCAGCATTTTCTGAGAACTCTCATTTCCTTACATCCTTATCAGTGTTTCAGTCAACATTTATTTACTTAGGGCTGAGGTTGAGCATCTTTTTATATGCATATTAGTAGTTTGCAGTTTTTCATAAGCTTTACCATTTTCCTTTGAGTCTTTGGGTTTCTCCTTGATGTCCATTGTATTTTAATTAAAATGTTAAAGATTTCACTACTAAGAATTTTAAAAGTTTTTTTGTACAAGTTTTATTTTATAGTGATAATCTTTTTTTTGTTTGTTTGTTTTTTTGAGAGAGGTTTTCGCTATAGGGCGTGTGCGCTCACCAGAAAGACAGAGACAGACAGAGAGACAGAAAGCAAGAAATCACCCCCCGGGGAGATGGCCATGCCACAATCCCTTCTCTTCCATTCTCCTCTCGGGATCTTAGGCACACACACACGCGCCTGGCATGAGTTTAAGCCCCTCTATCCGGGACTCGAACTGTGGTTGACTACATGGAGTCCAACTACATAGCCATTACTCCAGCTGCTGGTCCCGTCTAGTGATAATCTTATTTTAAAGGAAACTGGTAAAAGACACCTACTGGATGCTCTGTCATTTACTGTAAGCCATTGATATACCTGATAAAGACATAATAAAAGAGAGATTTATTGAAATACAGAAAAATGAGAACAGCTTTGCAAGCTTTATATGCTTGTATAGAAAGGAACCAAGAAGTCATCTTCTGTAATTTGCCTTTGAACTATTCTATACACACATGTTATTTTCTTCCCAATTAATGGTATATGAATCTTAGCACTAGAGGTCGACTTTGCATTACAAAGAGACAAGTAGTGAAATTCTTAAGTGGTTGAGAGAAAGAGATCATACTCTCTCTTTTTTGAGGTGGGAGGTAAGCACATTTTGAGGGGGGTGAGCAAGTATGTTCAGAACAGTGTCGACAATGGTCTGAAACCGGCGTGGCCACAGGAGGAAGCATGGCTGCGTCCTCATACTCTGACAAGTACTCTCGTAACTCCTTTGCTACTTGCTAATAATGAAGAGGGTTATGTTCATTGGTTCCTTTGTCCTCCTCCTTTATGCCTTCCTAATCTTAGTAGGTATTTGGATGTAAGTATTTAACTGTTCTTAGATATGACCCCTTTTGCCCTCTTGCTTAGTTTGTGTATGATTTTGCCAATCCAGATTGTCTAACTTAGCTGTAGCTTGAATTCTTTGTTTATAAACTTTTTTTATATAGTACCTTACAAAGAGGCAAGTAGTGAAATTCTTAAGATGTTGAAGAAAGGATCATATGCTCCCTTTTGAGGGGGGAGGTAAGGACCTTTAGTAGAATTTATTTCCGATTATTTTCTTGTTTCTATGAAGGATGAACCAATTGAAAACCATGGTTATCGACAATCTGGAGGGAAATAAACACATCACTCACATGGATTTGCGGGACAATCAGCTGGCGGACTTGGATCTTAGCTCCTTGTGTGGTCTAGAACAGCTTCACTGTGAGCGGAACCAGCTGAGGGAGCTGGCTCTCAGTGGCTTCTCCCTGAGAGCACTCCATGCCAGTTCCAACAGTGAGTTCTCTCTCCAGCTTCCTGCTCTTTTTCTGCATCTCTGGTCAGAGCTTCCTACAAACAGTGGGATCTGTGGTGCTTCTCGGCTCCTCTGCACAATGGGGCTGGCTGGTAGTTGGTTGAGGCCTTGCTGTGTTTTCTAATTGCAGTCAACACTTCTGTGGTTTCAGTGTGCATAAAAAGACATGGCAAGACATTTTGAGATTCACTAAGTGAAGTAAGAAGAGGTGTTTTAAAAAATAATGGGGCTGAGGGCTGGGTGCCCAAACATGTTCAGAACAGAGTACCAACAACAGTCTAAAGCTGGTTGGAAAACCTGCAGCCCCGGGGCTGAGTCTGGCCTACAACCTCTTTTTATGTGGTCAAAAGGGAATAGTTTTTGCTTTTTCTTCCCCTTTGTTGAAAGAGAGATGGGAGAGGGAGAAGAAGGAGACAGAGATAACTATTTTTGACAGGTTTCACTGGGTTGGGATGTTCCTACTCCAGGCCTGGGCCCCAAGTTGGCTAGAATTATAGGCATGCACAGCTGCACTCAGCATGCTCAGCTTGGCTCAGAAACCGAGCCCTGATCCCAGGCCTCGCGTATAGCTTCCTGTGCACCACTGTCACTGATCCTTTTTACACTTCTTGACACATGTGCTCTCCAGAGAGAGGAAAAGCTCCACTCATGGGAAATGATCATGCTGCATTCCCTTCTGGGGATTTTGGGCATACACCTACATGCTCCCAGCATGTTTCCCAAGCTATTGGGTCTGGAACTCGAACCACCACATGGTTGACCATGGGAGATCTGGCAACCTTAAACACCATGCCAAAGAGCCCATTTTTATGCTTTTTAGTGGTTGGGTTAATTAAAAATGGAAAAGCAGTGGGTCAGTCCTAAGGCCTTGTGGTTAAGGGAGTCAGATTCCAGATGGCTGACTGTGGTTTAAATCCCAGCTATAGAGACTTCAAAAACATGTAGAGTGTTTGTGCCCGTGAGCCCCAAATCCTGAAAGGATGGTGAAATGGAGGAGACGGGACTACAGTGTGACCGCGCCCCTTCAGGAGATGCTCCTCTCCCCTCCCCATCTCTGGAGAGTACATGTACCCTGTGGCCAATTAAAAGAAAAAAGCTAGATAATGGGTGAAAGTGTTCGCTATTTTTTTTATCTTTGCTTTTCAGTGTTTACAAAAAATATTAGAATAAAAGAAAATTGAGGATTATCTGCTTTCATTACCATTTATCATATTATAGAATCTTCAGATTATTAGATTATTATTAGATTATTCCTTAAATTAATGGTTTGTATGAAAGCTAATGAGTGTCGGGGCCGTCAAGTGGCATGGTGGTTAAGGGCGCTAGACTCCCACATGGCAGACCACGGTTCGAGTCTCAGACCTGGTGGCTTGTTTTCTCACTTCCTCTCTCTCTCTCTCTCTCTCTGTCTCTCTCTTATCAAACTGAAAAATAATGATAATAATAAATAAAGTTAAATAAAATAATCCTTTAACAAAAAAAAGCTAATGAGTGTTGACTTGTGCCTTTTATAGAAACAGTGAACTGGTCGGAAGTCCTTGTTAGGGAGACATGTGCCACCAGGCCCATCTCTGTTCTCAGTTTGTCTAGAGACATAGGTTTAGCCAGTTGACGTGGTGGTTAAGGGAGTTGGATCCTACATAGCTGGTTGTGTGGGTTGAGTCTGGGACTCAATTCCCCTGAGGGGTGCTTTCTTACCCTTCCTCCCCACGCCTCTCTCTGGCAAGCACACACCTCCTATAGCAAAATTTTTAGAATGTTAAAAATATTGCCAGTGAAAATCCAGTTATTTATATTTTTCAAGTTAAGAAGCTCAGTATTTACTACTAACTTTTAGCAAGTTCCTGGTATAGGAAATCCAGTGCAGTACACAGGATCTTTCAATTAGTTGTGTTTGTTTGTCAGGACAGATTGGGATTAAGCATTAGTGAAATCAAGTTACCCAATAGTTGATATCTTTGGTTCAGTTTTCTTGCTGTGATTTCACTGAGCTACTTTTTCTTTGTTACTTCTTAGTTACTTTCCAGCATCTTCTATAGAGAATGTCACTAACGCCAGTTTGTTTTTAATCAGGGCTGACAGCAGTGAATGTGTATCCAGTGCCCAGTCTCCTCACTTCCCTAGAACTTTCCCGGTGAGTCTGTCTCAGGAGCGTGGTTTGATTTTTAATATTTAAAAGATATATGTGGATATTTTAGTAGTTTGAGGGCATAAGACATCCAAATACATTGAAATATCTGGATAACCTGGTGACAGGTGAAAGGGTGAATGGAGGAGTAAATTGAATAGCCTAACTATGAAGTCAAAGGAAGGAGCCTCTTGAAACAGCATGGCACCTATGAGTTACTTATTCTTAAAGACTATGGGTTTAGGAGGAGACGCAAAAACCCTGTTAGTTGGAATCAGATAATTCTTAAATTTTAAATAATGGATATTAAAGAAAATGTTCTATTTTATTTTTTGATACTCTCATGACTCATGTTGGTCTGAATTTTAGAGAGATATCAATTACATCTAGGACTTTATTAATTTTGTGGTCAGTAATATAAATAAACATAAATGCTCCTTTTTATTCATTCATTTTTTAACATTTGTAGGCATTTAGGACTCAGTGGTTGAGCTTCACGGCCCACTGGGGAGATTGACATCAAGCAGGCAGTTCTAGGCCCATATCACACCCTACGTGTCATGAGTAGAGAGTGCTCAGAGCTTTTTGGGGGAGGGGACAGGCTCCTGTGTGGTCAGCATTGTTGGGAAGAGTAATGAGATGATAAGCACAAAACAGATAGCATAATGCCTGGCACATAGTAATCTCTAAGGAATGTTAGCTGTCAAGTCCAGGTTTCTTTTTGTTGTTGTTGGAACTTTATCATCATTGTCATGCCACTGTTTTAGAATTTTCAGTCATCCATTTCTTTCTGTTATATCTTCCTATCAAAACCTCAACATGGATCAATACTAAGATTTTACCTGCCCCCCTGAACTCAATCATTGCTGCTACAGAGTCCCAGTTCTTGGCCTCATGCAGAGCTCGCTGGTCCTTTCTCAGTAGCTCCTTCTGGTGTCCTTGGCATCTACTCTAAGTTGCCCTTCTTCCCTCCTCCTTCCCCCATCTCCTCCACACTAGATTTAGTTTTCTACTTGATAGAGAAAATCGAGGCCATCATTGGCGATTTCCTGTCTCGTGCCGCTGCATTTCTGTAGACTCATGTCTATCTTCAGCTTCTTCACTCCAGCCCAACATCACTGCTTTTGAGCCCGCCCACTCCCACTGCTCAGACCTCGCCCCAACCCTCCCCCCCCGCCCCTTGTGTGGGTATTCAGTGTCTTCCTTTTTTGTAGTATATACACTTTTATCTCTTTTGTCTTAACAAACAGAAAACGTTTTCTTTACTTTCAATCCCTCTGGCTGCTATCTAATCCCTCTTCCCTTTTTTGTTCATTTTACTTCATTTTGCCTCTTACATTGACCTGAAAGTCAAATTCCTTTTACTAAGTAGCTGCCCAGTGCTCTACTAAATATTTGAGTTCATGTTCTAAATGGTTTGAAACTTTCCCCCTACTAGTTATTATTATTATTTTTTTTAGAGGTTTTTGCTATAGGGCGCGTGCGCTTGCCAGACAGAGACAGAGAGACAGAAAGCGAGAAATCACCCCCCAGGGGGGATGGCCACGCCGCAATCCCTTCTCCTCCGTTCTCCTCTCGGGATCTTAGGCACGCACGCACACACGCCTGGCGTGAGTTTTAAGCCACTGGGTCCAAGACGCAAACTACGTGGGAGTCCAGTGACATAGCCATTACGCTAACTGCTGGTTCCCCTACTAGTTATCTTTTGTCCCTGCTTGGTTTTTGTTTGTTTTTTCTGGTCATTTTTCCTAGAATTTTCTTCTCATCTTTGAGAGTTTGTTTAAAATGTCCCTTCTGTAAGTCTGCCCTCACCTCTCTCCCTTCCTTCCCACTACCTGGAACTCTCCCATTATTGAAAGCCCTCTGCCTTGAGCTCGCAGCATGGTTGACCCAGGACTCTCCATGTTTGTGTACCTGGGCCTCCCCACCTTGCTCAGGCAACAGCATTCACAGAGCACCTGCAGGACGCCAGGGGATGCCACAGAGAGGCGACTCTGTCCCCCGGGTTCACAGGCTGGTTCACAGACATTACAGTCTAGTGAAATGAGTTCCACTTTTCTTCTTAAATAATCCTCTTAATTATGTTTTTGTAGAAACCTGCTGGAGTGTATCCCTGACTGGGCTTGTGAAGCAAAGAAGATAGAAATATTAGATGTGAGCTATAATCTTCTCACAGAGGTTCCTGTGAGGTATGTGTGTGGGAGTGCATATATTACGTATGTATGACTTTGTGTGTGCCTATGTGTATGTGTTGAATTATTTTCCTAGATTGGGTTGTACTTCATTTACTCAGTGACTGTTGAGTATAAGGCCGTGTGACCTGCTGTAAGGAATCCAATAATGGCTAATGCATGGTCTGGGCTGCAAGGAACTGACTAAAAGGATAGTGTGATCTGTGCTCGGATAACTGTGATGAAATGAATCAAGAGTTACTGGCATAGGTTGGAAATACAGTAGTAGTAATTTTTTTTTTTTTTTTTTTTAGGTTTTTGCTAAAGTGCATGTACTCGCCAGAGAGAGACAAAAAAGGGAAAGTGAGAAATCACCCCCACCCCACCCCAGGGGGAATGGCTTTACCACAGTCCTTTCTCTTCCATTCTCCTCTCAGGAGTTTGGGCACACATGCATACACAACTGGCATGATTTTCAAACTGCTGGGTTCAGAACTCAAACTGTGGGTGGTCATGTGGGAGTTTAGCTGCCTTAACCACCGTGGCACCTGTTAGCCCACTAGTTCATATTTTCTTTTTTTTTTTTTTTCTTTTTTTTTTTTGCTATAGGGCACATGCACTCGCCAGACAGAGAGAGAGAGACAGAGAGAGAGAAAGTGAGAAATCACCCCCCGGGGGGATGGCCATGCCACAGTCCCCTCTCCTCCGTTCTCTCGGAATCTTGGGCATGCACACACACGTGCCCAGCATGAGTTTTAAGCCACCAGGTCCGGGATGCGAACCGTGGTCGACTACACGGGAGTCCAGTGACATAGCCATTATGCTAACTGCTGGTCCCAACTAGTTCATATTTTCTAAGATGAGTTATTAATGAGCAATATCCTAGGAACTTTACTTTTATTATCTTACCCAATCCTTTAGAAACCTTATTATAGGGCCACTGGTGGTGTGGTGACTGGGGCAGCTGGACCCCATGTGGCCGACAGTTCCAATTCCAGACCTGGTGGCTTGGGAGACATGCCAGACATGTGCATGCTTGCCCAAAATGCTGACAGAGGGAGAGCTCAAGGAGAGGGGATTGCAGTGTGACTATTCCCCTTGGGGGCTGCTTTCTTGTTTTCCCTCTTACTTACTCTCTCTGGGGAGCACATGTGCAATTAAAAAAGAAAATGCCTTATTATTACTATATAGGTGTGCTGTTGTCATCTTAGAAATGAGGAAACTAGGACTTAGAGTGATCAGGAAACTCGTGTGAGGTTGTCCTTAGCTAGAAGTATTTGAACATAGTCGTTCTTACTCCAGAGCCCGTACACTTAATCACTGCCCTGCATAGAGTCAATTTTTTAGAAATTAGGAAGAACTTTGACTAATTAGACAATACTTTATGGAAAAGGTGGCATTTGAGTTGACCTTTGCCAGATATTGAGATTTCTCTAAGTGGAAGGAGCGAGCGCTTGGGGCAAGGGTCAAGGGTAGGCAATGATATATTCAAAAGCACTGAGGTGTAAAATGTGTGGCTGTTACCCAATGGAGTCTTTAAAACTAAACTAGAGACAGGTGAGTCTGTGGCGTGGTGCTTAAGATGGCTCAATCCAACTGTGCGGTTCTGAGACTTAGACCTGGTGTCTTGAGACATGTGTAGGGCATGTGTATGTGTGTTGCCTCAAATAGCAACATGAGGGAGAAATGGAGGAGAAGGGATTGTGACCTAACGATTCCCCATGGGGTGTACTTTCTCACTTTCTCTAGTGAGCACATATACCCTCTGGCAAAAATTAAAAAATAACAACAGCAGCAAAACTAAACTAGAGGCTTTGCAGCATAATAGGTATGAAGACACCCTTTTGATTTAGATCTTAGTACAAATCCATTTACTTTACAAACCCTACCATTTACTTGCTATTTGCTGTGCGATCTTTTACAAATCAAAGTCACTTAACCTGAGCTTCATTGTTAAATGGCCTAGCATGTTTTACACACTCAATAAATACTAGTCTGGGCTGGCCTAGTAGCCTACTGGGTTTTTTTTGAGAGATTTTTGCTATAGGGTACACGTACTCACCAGAGAGAGACAGAGAGACAGAAAGGGAGAGAAATCACCCCCCAGGGGTGATGGCCACACCAAAATCCCTTCTCCACTTCCATTCTCCTCTAGGGATTTTGGGCATGCACGCACACACACCCAGAGTGAGTTTTAAGCCATTGGATCTGAGACTTGAACTGCAGTTGATTACATGGAAGACCAGCGACATAACCATTACGCTGTCTGCTGGTCAAGCATACTGGTTAAAGGACCTGGATCCTACATAGCCAATCATGGTTTGAATCCCAGCCCTGGCTGCTTGAAAAATACTCTGGGCACTGTGTGTGCATGCCTGCCTCCCTCTGGAAAGCACATGCACCCTCTGGCAGTTAAAATAATATCTTTTCTTGTTGTATTAATAAATAAAATTTGTTACCATGATTTTATATTAATAAGCTACACTAATATTAATAAATACTAAATTTTGAGTGACATTTCAACTTAAAACTGAATTGAGGGCTTGTGCATAGGGAGCTGGATCCCATGTAGCCAGTTGCTGTTCAAATCTTGGCTCTAGGGGCCAGCAAGTGGTGTGGTGGTTAAGGAGCTGGACTCACACGTGACCAACCACAGTTTGAGTTCCAGACCTGGCAGCTTTCTTTCTTTTTTAAAAAAATTGTTTTATTTAACTTTATTTATTTATTTGATTGATTGATTGATTTGATTTGATTTGATTTGACCAGAGAAGGACAGAACAAGAGGGAGAGAGAGGGAAAGTGAGAAAGCAAGCCACCAGGTCTGGAACTCAAACCGTGGTCAGCCATGTAGGAGTCCAGCGCCCTTAACCACCATGCCAACTGCCAGTCCTCTGGCAACTTGCTTTCTCACTTTCTCTTTCTCCCTCTCTTTCTAGTAAACATGCATACTCTGTAGCAAATTTAAAAATAATAATAAATAAAATTAAAACAAACAAACAAAAAAATCCTGACTCCAGCAGCTTGTAAAAGCATGCTGAGTGTGTGTGTTTGCCAGCCTCAAATCTGGACGGAATGGAGGAAAAAGGATTGTAGTGTGACCACATCCCACAGAGGGTGCCTTCTCTCTCTCTGGCTAGTAGATATGCCCTTTGGCAATATATTCTAGAACTTGCCCTTTTAGTTTCGATCTTCTCTGTGTTACTAGCTTTAATTAATTCACCTTTCTTCAGAATGGTTTTAATGACTTCCTGGTGGGCACTGGGTACAGATTTGGTCATGGCTGCATTCCTCGGCTCAGGAATTTGTCAGTGATTGTGTAGCTTAGAATAATATATTTCTGTTAGTTTACTGGTTTCAGTTAAACAGCCTAGGACAGGCTCAGCAAGAAGGATTTAAAACTTTAATCTGTTTCTTTGTATTGTTCCTCTTAGAATTCTGAGTAGTCTGAGTCTTAGAAAACTGACGATGGGACACAATCGTGTGCAGAGCCTTCCACCGCTGGTGGAGCACATCCCCCTGGAGGTGCTGGATGTCCAGCATAATGCGCTCACCAGGCTACCAGACACCCTCTTCTCCAAGGCCTTAAAGTAAGTGCTGCAGGATCTGTTCTTTTCCCAAAGAGCAGAATCATTGGCTCCACACACTGCATTAGCTTGCCATCAGAGTGAACTTTGGGACTATAGCGTTCACCCGATAATCCAACCATAGGTAAAGACTTCAGATTTTTATAAAAGGAAATATGATACTATTTCATGAGGCAATAATCTTTAACTCAGAGTAGAAATAACCATCAGATAGTTAAGACGTTTTGTGTTGTAAACAATTTCAAACAGGTTGGGAGGGTTCAGCCTTTCATCCCAGAAACCAGTTATATAAAGCAAAATTCCTTTTTTTTATTTTGAGAGTTTTTTGCTATAAGGGCGCATGCGCTTGCTGTAAAGACAGAGAGACAGAAAGCGAGAAATCAACACCTTGTGGGGATGGCCATGCTGCAATCCCTTCTCCTCTACTCTCTTCTGAGGATTTTGGGCACTCATGCACACGTACCGGGCGTGAGTTTAAGCCACCAGGTCCAAGACTCAAACCATGGTCAACTATGTGGGAGTCCAGCAACATAACCATTACGCCATCTGCTGGTCCCGTAAAATTACATTTTGATGTAGCTTCCTTGGGCAGTTTTCTGCTTTTGCGTTGGGGAGAACAAGACAACTAAAATTAATTTGGTTTTTGCTTCAAGGTTTACCAAACTATCTTTGAATTATATTTGCAGAGTGTTTTTGCTACATATTTGGAAACTGTATTTAAAGGTAATATGTTTCAAAAAGTGTTATTTACCTCCTCATTGTAAATGAACAAACAGTTGGTATATATTCCCATTTTTAAGATCTATAATCAGATTTATCTAATATGTATATCACCTTTAATTGAAAAGTAGATTTTTAAAAAATGATGTGCGTGTTAATTTACACAGGGTCTCACCGTGTCACTAACCTCCTGTCCCAAGTAGCTAGGATCACAATCACAGGCGTGAGCCACTGTGCTGGCCATTTTTAGGGTAGGTGGGCAATTGAACTTGAGCCTCCCGTGTGGTCTCAGCTTGCTAGGCAACAGCATTCGGCATGTGCTAGCACAGCGGAGCCTGATTTTTTGTTATAGTCCTCCATAATATGGATAAGGTAATATTGTCTTCAATTTAGAATGGGAAAACAGAGATAAGCAGTACTAAGTTAAAACAGGCTGTAGGAGACATACAGAACTCATTTAGCCCACAAGCATTTGACCTGTTTTCTTTTTAGTAGTGCATACATCTTTCAATGTGTAATACATTTGGTCAGATAGTACTTAAAATAAAACCTTGAAAAATCTAAAAAAATGTTTGAAGGAAATTTTCTTTTGGAAAATTTCATATAATAGAATCTTATGCAGTTATTAATAAGATTAACAATATTAACAAACAATTCTACCAAATACTACATTTGGTCCTAATGACAATTTGAATAAAATTAGTTTACAACTTTAGAATTAGTGAGAAGGAGAGGCAGCTCCGTGGCCTCCTGGTTAAGGGAGTCAGATCCCACATGACCTGTGCAGTTTGTGTGTCAGCCCTAGCAGCTTGATAAAACATGTTGGGTGTGTGTATGTGCCCCAAATCCCAACAGGATGGAGAAATGGAGAAGGGTTTACTGTGTGACCACACCTCATTGGGGAGTACTTTCCCTCTACCTCTCTCTGTCTTTCTGGCATGGGCACTTGTCCTTTGTTAAATTAAAAAAAAAAAATGTATTAGTGATGAGTAAGTTACCTAGCCGTAGCTAAGTGTGATTATTATTAATAACTAATTAATTATTCTAAGACAGAAACAGTGCCATAAATAGGGTCTCAAAGCTGCAGTCCTCCCTCAGTTACAGTCAGCTGTGGATCCTGGGCACACATGTGCCTAGTACATGCAGGGAGGTCTCCAGACACAAACCTTCCCTTGTAGAACCTTTCTGTGTGGGGCAGTCTTGCAGAGCATGGCATTTTACCACTGTGCAGTAGTCCAGCTCCACTAAGTACTTTTTAATAGTAACTCTTCACAGCATGCTTTTGGGACAGAGACATAAACAGACACATAGTATCCTCAGTAAGCTTCAACCAAACTGGGATCTGGAACAACATGAAGAAGAATGAAGAACACACAGCAAGTTGAATAATTTTAGCTGTCTTTTATTGAGATTGTTTTTATGTACCAAAGATGCAAGATTTTAAAATCATACTGTTTCTCCTATTGGATTGACGCACATTATAATGAATTATGATACTTAGTGTTAACAAAGGTGTGAGCAAACTAGCATTCTTATAGTGTATGTGTGTGTGTGTGTGTGTGTATCATATAGTGTGTGTATATATATTTAGGTGTGTGTATAGGTAAAATGTGGTATAGCCACTTTGGTGCTCGGATTGGCAATATATTACCAAATCTTTAAAATACACATGCTTTTTTTATTTTATAAATTCTGTTTATAGGAATGTACCCTAAAGAAATAATTGAATATGGATACAGTGGTACTTATTATGATGTCTGTAAAAGCATATGTGTGGAAATGGAAAGAAACAGTTTAATAGGAAATTATTATGGGATTGACTAATAATGATGCTATTGAAATGAGATGAAAGTTTTTCTGAAGAGGGCCAGCCAGATGGTGTGGAGGTTAAGGCCCTGGATCCTACATGGCCGACTCTGTGATTCAAGTCCCAGACTCAGTGGCTTGAAAATTGTGCTGGCGGGGGGGCCAGCAAATGACGTGGTTGTTAAGGCCCTGTGCTCTCACTACAGTTCAAGTTCTAGACCTAGAGGCTTGCTTTCTCACTTTCCCTCTCTATCTGTCTCTCTCTCTGGTCAAATTAAAATAATAATAATATAATAAAATTACATAGTAATTTTATTTTCTTTCTTTAAAAAAAAAGAAAGAAAAGAAAAGAAAATCATGTTGGGTGCATGTCGCCATTCCCTTGGGTGATTTCTCACTTTCTCTCTGTCTCTCTCTTCAGTGAGCACACACTTCCTATAGCAAAAACAAAACAAAACAAAAAACCACTTTCTGAAGAGTGTCTTTGTTCAGATATATGGACATATGCTCAGCATCAGCTTTTCAGTAGACACACAGACAGTGAGAGATGAAGTGGGCTTAGAATCAAGCCACCTCAGAAGCCTGGGAAAACAACCAGACCCATAGTCCTTCCTCTCTACGTGGCTCAGATGAGTTGAGTAAAAGGAATGTTGGGTTGGATAGAATTGAGGAGAGAAAACAAGATATGAAAAAAATAGTTCTTTTTGAAGTTTGGGAGCTCAGAACAGTACCATGCCACACTGAGTGGCATGGTGGTCTCAACATCAGAAGACAGCAAGTAATGAGAGTTTGTGTGTTCTGTCAGTCTCAGGTACTTGAATGCATCTGCAAACAGTCTGGAGTCGCTGCCACCTGCTTGCCCTGGGGACGAGAGTCTGAGCATGCTGCAGCTGCTCTACCTGACGAGCAATCTCCTCACAGACCAGTGCATACCCGTCCTGGTGGGGCACCCGCACCTGCGCATCCTGCACCTTGCCAACAACCAGCTACAGACCTTTCCCGCCAGGTAAGTGAGAGTAGACTTTGATCATTTCAGATACACACATTAATTCCACATTTGTCAGACTAAATTGCAGCCATCTAACCTTGTCTCTTGCTTTATGTTGACTGACATACTGATGCTTTGGTTTCACTAGTTGAGTAGGAAAAGGCTCATCTGAATAGTTTGTACCCAGTTGTTAAATAACTTTAACCCAGAAGAGATTGTGGTTAAAACGTACTTAATTTAAAGATTTTTTTGTTTGTTTTTAAATATCAGAGGGATTTTGTGTGCTTGTGTGTGTGTGCAAGAGAGGGAGAGAAAGCATCCCCTCCAATGGGACATGGTCATGCCATAATCCTTTTTCCTCTAATTCTCCATCCCATAAGACTTGATTGCATGTACCTGGTGCATTTTTCAAGCATCCATGGCCTGAACTCAAACCTTGGTTAGCCACAGTCAGCCATGGTTAGCTTTTCTCTGTGAATGCTTAACCGCTGCTCTGTGGGGCTGGCCTTAATTTTCAACTCTAATTACTTTAAAAAGTACAAACTTAGGAAATAAAGAACTCGGGACCAGCAGTTGGCGTAATGGCTATGTCACTTGGACTCCCATGTAGTCAACTGCGGTTCGAGTCCCAGACCCGGTGGCTTAAACTCACGCCGGGCGCATGTGCATGTGTGCCCAAGAGGAGAATGGATTACAGCATGGCCATCCCTTCTGGGGGTGATTTCTCGCTTTCTGTCTCTCTGTTTCTGTCTTTTGGGGAGTGCATGCACCCTATAGCAAAAACCTCTCCAAAAAAAAAAAACAAGAAAGAAAGAAAGAAAAAGAACGAACTCTGAAGCTAGTTTTTATTTATTTATTTATTTTCTCTTGTAGCACTATTTTATAAAATTTCATAGAGTTAGGGCTAGCAGGTGGCATAGTAGTTAAGGCACTGGACTCCCACACAGTCAACTGCAGTTCAAGTCCTGGACCCAGCAGCTTGAAATGTACATTGGGTGCATGTACATGTGTGCCCAAAATCCTGAGAGGAGAATGGAGGAGAAGGGAATTGAGTGTGGCCATCCCCCTGGAGGGTGATTTCTCACTTTCTCTGTCTTTTCAGTGAGTGCATACACCCTATAGCAAAAGTTAAAAAAAAAAAAATTCTGTTGAGTCTATTTATTTATAACATATATATTGAATGCCTTCTGTACGCAAAGTACTATGTAACAATTACAGTCTCTGTCCTCAAGGAGCTTACAGGCATACTAGGGAAATGGACAGGTGCACAGGCATTTGCAATGACAGGTAATAACTGCAGGAGAGGGGACCAGCAGGTGGCATAGTGGTTAGAGGGTGCTGGACTTCCACATGGCCTACTGCAGTTCAAGTCCCAGACCTGGTGACTTGTTTTCTCACTTCCCTCCCCCTGCTCCTCTCTGGTCAAATTAAAAATAAATAAATAAAGTTAAATAAAATAATGCTTTAAAAAAAAGTAACAGCAGGGGTCAACAGGTGGCATGGTGGCTAAAAGTGTTGGATTCCCACATGGCCAACCATGGTTCGAGTCCTGGACCTGGCAGCTTGCTTTCTTGCTTTCCTTTTTTCTCTCTCTTTCTCTGTCTCTTTCTGGTCAAATTTTAAAATAATAATAACAAATGGAATTACATAAATAAATAAAATTTTTAGAAGAAGTAACTGCAGGTGATTCAAGATATGCACAAGTTGCTAACTGTACTACACAGAACCTGGGACAGGTTAGGCTTGTGGAAGAAAGCCATGAATAGTAGTTAGCCAAGCTATACCCATGAAAGACATGCAAGAGACATTTAATGTTGTCAGAGTTTCAGATAATGTCAATGGAGAAATAAAATAAATACTTCTCAAAATATGTTGGACTGGGGGGCCCGCAGGTGGTGTGCAAGTTAAGGTGGCTAGATCCCACATGACTGACTACACAGTTCGAGTCCCTGATCTGGTAGCTTGAAAGCACATTGGGTGCCATGTGCACATGTCCCTAGAATCCTGATAGGATGAAGGAGAAGGACTTGCAGTGTGGCCATTCTGCCTGGGAGGGGCCATCTCACTTTCTCCTCTCCCTCCCTGCAAGCACATACACCTTATAGCAAAAACTTAAAAAAAAAAAAAAAAAAAAAAGGCAAGTACATTTTATTATAAAGAACTGGAAAGGCAAAGTACATTTTATTATAAAGAACTGGGAACGCTGGGCCAGGCAGTGGTGTGGTGATTAAGGTGGTTGGATTCCCTCATGGCCAACTACACAGTCCTAGTCCTGAACCCCACAGCTCCAGAAACACGCTGGGCATGTCTGCCTATATGCCAAAATACTAAAAAAGCACTTTCCATGGGTACTTTCTCACGTTCTCTTTCTGTCTCCAGAGAGAGCTTGTGCCCTCTGGCAGATTTAAAAACAAAAACAAAAAACAAACTACAAAATCAAATACCAGAAAAATTAATCTATTCCATGAAAATAGTCATTAAAAATCATATTTCTAAAAACCAAGTAAGGACCATTAGTGCTGAGCTTTCGAGCTCATCTAGACAAGATGTCAGACCCTGAGGGCGCTCCCACAGGTACTCACCAAAATTCACAAAGGAGATGAACCATATTCACAGAGAAGCAGCTAGAAGGCTTGAACTTCTTGTTCAGTAAGAACCCATACCCACACCCCAGCCTTGAGAAAGAAATGGTATTATAAATGGACTTACATCCAGTGGTGCTGCAGGTTTGGTTCAAGATCCACCAAGCAAAGCTGAAGAGGGCAAAGCTGAAGCTCGCCCAGCAGCACCCTGATGTCCCGCAGCACCCTGATGCCCAGAAAGAGTACCTCCCAGGGGGCGGCATCAAAACCAGCACTTCTCAGAGGGACATGGACCTGGATCCCCGGACGATGCCTGTCTAGCCCCCCTGTTTTATACAGATAGCTGGATACCCTCATTCTAGCTCAGTGTATGCCCCAATGTCAAGGCCTCCACAGGCCCCTCAGCTAGCCACAAAATAATCCACTTTGGCTGTTTCCGGGATCTGAACATATACTGTCTCTCTCCCTTCCTGGAGCCCCTGGTGGGCTCCCAAAGGCTCAGTCCTCGTTCGTAGTGTCAGTTCTCCTTCCCTGGGTTCTTCAGGGGCATCGGAGAAAGAGAGGTGGTACACAGCAGTCACAGTGCCATACCTCCCACATGCGGAAATGCTTCCGGCTGTAAGGAACAAAGTAGAGATGTGGCAACACAGACAGATAGCAAAAACATCACAGAGGGGCCCGGAGGTGCACAGGACGGGGCCAGCGGGTGCCGTGGCTAAAGCTCTGGACACTCCCACATGGCTGACAATGGTTCTAGTCCTGGACCTGGTGGTTTGCTTTCTCATTTCCCTGTGTGTGTGTCTCTGGTCAAATTAAAAAAAAAAAAAGGATGAATAAGGTTAAAAAAAAAAAACACACAAAATAAAACAAAGTAAGGACATGGGGACATGGTATTTGACGATTTGAATGAAATTAATTATATACATATATCATCTTTTTGAAGTATTCTTATATTTATTATTATTATTTGAGACTTTTTGCTATAGGGTGCATGCGCTCACCAGAAAGACAGAAAGCGAGAAATCACCCCCCAGGAGGGATGGCCACGCTGCAATCCCTTCTCCTCCATTCTCCTCTCAGGATCTTGGGCACGCATGCACACGTGTCCAGCATGTGTTTAAGCCACAGGGTCCAGGACTTGTACTGCGGCCAGCTACACGGGAGTCCAGCAACATAGCCATTATGCCAACTGCTGGTCCTGCTCTTATATGTATTATTATTGTAATAAGAAAGGAAATAATTTTAACGTACTAACCTTAGTTGTTAAAAAGTATGAATTTTCTAGCAATAGAAATTATTTATGAGGGCTAGCCAGTGGTGGTTAAGGTGGCTGGATCCCACATGGCTGATCATGCAGTTTGAGTCCCGGACACCATAGTTAGAGAAACATGCCAGGCAAAAGGGGGGAAAAATGGAGTAGAGAGGGTGTGGGATGACCATTCCCCACAGGGATTCCTCTAGCTCCCTGTGAATGCAGGTGCCTCTGACCAAAATTTTTAAAAACTTATTTATGATATATTATGTGAAAAGGACAGTGGGACCAGCAGTTAGCTGGTCAAGTCCCAGACCTGGTGGCTTAAACTCATGTTGGGTGCATGTGAGTGCGTGCCCAAGATCCCGAGAGGAGGATAAGGGATTGCAGCGTGGCCATCCCCCCTGGGGGGGTGATTCTCGCTTTCTGTCTCTCTGTCTTTCTGGCGAGTGCACATGCCCTATAGCTAAAAAATATGCCCTATAGCTAAAAAAAAAAAAAAAAGGACAGGACATAAAATTTATGTGAAACAGTCATATGAAAAATTTGTTATGAAATTCAGCAAAATAACAATTCCTTCAGATTGCTGGTATTAGCGTATATCTTTCAAGAGTTTATTATTTTTATATTTTTTATTTTTTATTATTTTAAATTTTTCATTCAATTTTATTTATTTATTCATGTATTTATTTCAATTTGACCAAAGAGGGACAGAGCGAGAGTGAGAGAGAGAGTGAGAAAGTGAGAAAGCAAGCGGCAGGTCTGGGACTCAAACCACGGTCAGCCTTATGGGAGTCCAGTGCCCTTAACCACCACACCACCTGCCAGCCCCTCATTTTTATAATTTTTAAACCAATAAATCAACAAATCAGAACAATTTGTAATAATCTAGATGAAGGTGTTTGACTGACTTAAGATATTTTGCTTCCGATATAGAAAGCTTTATGGAATGGGTGGAATAGTATGAATGTGCTGCATCACGGCCCAGAGCATAGTGCTCTGTGTATAGTGAGGACCTCCTCAATGTTCAGTGCAGATGAACTGTGTTACGAACAGGTAACTGTAGAAACTTAAAACTAAGAAGATGTTTAGTATAACTTTTTTTTTCCTTAAAAAGAATTATCTTGGGAGCCAGCAGTTAGCATAATGGCTATGTCGCTGGACTCCCATGTAGTCAACCGCAGTTCGCGTCCCGGACCCGGTGGCTTAAAACTCACGCCGGGCTTGTGTGCGTGCATGCCCAAGAAATCAAGAGGAGAATGGAGGAGAAGGGATTGCGGCGTGACCATCCCCCCTGGGCGGTGATTTCTCACTTTCTGTTTCTATGTCTCTCTCTGTCTGGCAAGTGCATGCGCCCTATAGCAAAAACCTCTCCAAAAAAAGAAAAGAAAAAAAAAAGAAGAAGAATTATCTTCTGGAGACAGCAAGTGGCATAGTGATGAAGGCACTGGACTTGCACGTGGCCAACTGTGGTTCCAGTCCTAGATCTAGAACCTTAAAACTCATGCTGGGCATGTGTGTGCATACCCAGCATCGTAAGGGAAGAATGAAGGAGATGGGATTGCAGCGTGGCCATCCCCCCAGGGGGTGATTTCTAGCTTTCTGTTTCTCTGTCTCTGTCTGGTGAGCTCATGTGCCCTGTAGCAAAAATCTCTTACAAAAGGAAAGAAGGTCTAGGAGATGGCATAGCGGTTACATCACTGGACTCCCACATGCCGACCATGGTTCAAGTCTCAGACCTGGTGGTTTGAAACTCATACCAGTATTTTTTTGTGTGTGTGTGTGTGTGTGTGTGTGTGTGTGTGCCCAAGATTCTGGGAGGAGAATGAAGGAGAAGGGATTGTGGCATGGCCATCCTTCCTGGGAGGTGATTTCTAACTTTCCTTCTCACTGTCTCTGTCTGTCTGTTTCTTTCCTCCCGTGAGTACACATACCCTAAGGCAAAATCTCTATTTTAAAAGAAGATTAATTGTATTTATTATTATGATGATGATGATGTTAAATTTGCTTTAGGGCATGTGTGCTTACCAGAGAGGAAGAGAGAGAGGGAGCACCATCAGGTCCAAGACTCGAACCGTGATCAGCCATGTGGGAGTATAGTTCCTTAACCACCGTTTCACCTGTTGACCCCACAACTTTGTTTTAATATATATAATTTTTTCTTTATTCATGATAAAGATTATGTGCATGCACTTGAGAGTCTGAGAGAAAGAGAGAGAGAGAGGTGAGTTCCCTCTGTGGGACTGGTCTCATTGTGATCTCTTCCCTCCAGTCATCCAACCCATTGGATCCTGGCACTCACTTATATGCACGGTACATTGCTGCTGGTCAGGCTGCCACTTTGAACTGTGCTTGTGGGCGGGATCCAGCTTCTCTTGAGCAGCATGTTAACTAGTTGGCCATGGAGCTGGCCCTGGTATGACTAAGGATATTGAGGTTTGCTGACATGAATTTACCCAGTGTTTCATAGGTAGGTAGGTAGTGGCAAAGCAAGGACCAGTACTAATTCGGCAGGGTTAGACTCGTACTTTTCCAGCCACTTCCTGCAAGTCAGGTAGCAGGGAGGTATTCTTTCTTGCCTTCGACATCCAACAGCTGTAAGCACTGCAAGGAACACTTCAGTCTTTTTTTTTTTTTTTTTTGGAGAGATTTTCACTGTAGGGCGCGTGCGCTCGCCAGACAGACAGAGAGAGACATAGAGACAGAAAGCGAGAAATCACCCCCCAGGGGGGATGGTCACGCCGCAATCCCTTCTCCTCCATTCTCCTCTCGGGATCTTGGGCACGCACGCACACGCGCCCGGCGAGGAACACTTCAGTCTTGAAATACTGAGAGGCAGATTAGGCTGAGGTGTAGCTGGAGTGGTCTCTGGGTGAACCTTTGCCACTGTGGGCGTCTGGTCATTTCATCCTCACCAGTCATCTGGTGGTGGACTGGGCTGGCCTGTACTATCTGGCTGCTGTGAAGTACCACTTGCATGGCAGCTGTCATTTGGATGCAGTATGGCATTTTGGTGTTTCTTTTTCAGCAAACTAAATAAATTGGAGCAATTGGAAGAGCTAAACCTAAGTGGCAACAAGCTTAAAACCATCCCTACAACCATAGCAAACTGCAAACGGCTACACACCCTCGTCGCACACTCCAACAACATCAGCATTTTCCCAGAAATCCTGCAGCTGCCTCAGATCCAGGTACTTCAGTGTAGTGGTGCTGTCCATAAGGGGGAATGCAGGAGCATGAATGAGGGCGTTCTTGTCTTGTAAGGAAGAAGAGATCCTGTGATTGACGGTTTTCTTAGAAAGGAGAGATACTGTCCTCATCTCATCAACTCAGTTTGGGACCAGAGTGTACTTAATTGATCCTTAGGGAGAAATTAAGTTGTTCTTTAAGGGTAGAATAGGGGACTGAGCGTTCTGGACTAAAGAACTAATTTAACTCTCCGTGATGTATTTTCTTTTAAATTCTCCATTTCTTCTCAGTTTGTAGATCTAAGTTGCAATGACTTGACAGAAATTCTGATTCCTGAAGCTCTGCCTGCGACATTACAAGACCTTGACCTGACTGGAAATACAAATTTGGTTCTGGAACACAAAACACTGGACATATTTAGGTAGGAAAAACTTGGAAATTGAATCTATATGTGTTCTTAGGCCCACGAGCCATATGTAGGTCTTTTTAAGACTGTGAAGATATCAATAGGGATGTGCCTATGGAGGGGTAGAATGAATTAGGCCATGGGCCAGCTGCTAGTGAGGAGGTTAAGGCAGCTGGTTCTTACATGGCTGACTACATGGTCTGAGTACCAGAACCAGTGGTCTGGGGAAAAAAAAAAGAATTAGGCCATAAAGCCCATAAGTTCTTTTTTTCTGATTCAGTTATGGATGTATATTCTAATCAGTAGTTAGTCTGTTAATTTTCAGACTGCTCCATAGCTATTCCCAGTCACATACAGAATATTTTTACCTGGCAGGCATAGATATGTTAGGTGGCACTGACCACAGTATGTGATTTAAGAGATAGTCCAGGTAATTCTTTGTACCAGGACTTTATTGCATCAGAATGAAATAAATACACAGTTGGGCTGAAACTAAGGGGGGGAAAAAGAGATTTTTTTACTATAGGGGGCATGTGCTTTCTGGAGAAACAGAGAAAGACAGAGACAGAAGCAATAAATCACCCCCCAGAGGAGATAGCCACATTGCAGTTCTCTCTTCTCTCTACTCTTCTTGGGATTTTGGGCACGCACACACGTCCACCTGATGTGATTTTTAAGCCTCTGGGTCCAGGACTTGAACCATGGTCGACTACATGGGAGTCTGGTGATGTAACCACTATGCTGTATGCTGATCCCAAAACTTAGAATTTGTCCTCTATTTCTCCCTTCTTTCCTTTTTCTTTCTTCCTTCTTAGTTCAGCATACTACTTTTATGCAGTCTTTCTGGAAATGAGTTTCAGCCTATCAACAGATTATTTCATCAAAACATATTGTTGGGATAGTTTTAAAATACAAAAGAGTATATGACTTCATGTTCCTTTTTCCCACTTCCCACAGCCATATCACAACACTGAAAATTGATCAGAAACCTTTGCCAACTACAGATTCTACAGTTTCATCCACCTTCTGGAGCCATGGACTGGCCGAGATGGCAGGACAGAGAAATAAGTGAGTATGTTAGCCATCGAGACGGAGAAAGGCCTCTGGGTGCTGGTCCAATCCTCAACACTAGGCCTTGTTGTTCTCCTATGCACACAAACGCAAAACATTAGCCTCAGATAGGTACAGCCAGCAGTGTTCCAGACTGCGGAGCTCAATTCCACATGCCAATTTTGGTTCGATTCCCTGGCCTAGTTGGTCTGAAAACATGCTGGACATGTCCACTGATGCCCGAGATCCTGGCAGGTCAGAGGGCATCATAAAGGGCATCATGGCATAACAGAGTCCTGTAGACGGTGCTTCTCTCTCTCCTCTTCCTCTCCCTCTCTCATGTGTGCATATGTGCTTTATCATGAATTTTTTTAAAAAGTCCCTGTGAGACTATGATAAAGTGAGTTAAAAGCAAAATAAATGTGCAGTTCACAAAAATACTGTACACCACTCACTTCTCATGGTGAAAAAGTGAATGCTGTTTTCTTTACCAGTTACATTATCCTTACGCTACTCTTCCTTCCCTGTGGTTAAGATTTATTGAGATACCCGACCAGAGAGTGGCCCCACTTCCTGACGGCATCCAATCTAGTATGATCCTAGACTCCTTAGACACTCCCCAAATGACCTGACTGAGCCCAAATCCTATGCTCCTAGGTCTTTTCCAGCACCTTCTTACCTATATGCCCCAGGGTTCCATGGTGTGCACTCTCCCTTGCTGAGGAGTAATAAACCCAACTTGTTTAATTACAGTTGTGCTCAGATGGTCTCTGGTTACAAAGCCTTTACAAAACTAGTTTTTTCTTATAACAGAGAAAATATTTTTCCTTTGTAGCCTTTGGCAGCATTGCAAAGATAATTGTATTGTCCATGAATGTGGCTGAATTTCCTTTTCCTTAGAACATCAGCTCACATTGATGCTGCTTAATCACATTACAGAGGGACGCTTCATGTGTAGGTTGACTTACTACTGTTCTGGGACAGCAGATGGTGAAATGACTACATTGCTGAACTCCCATGTAGTCAAATGTGGTTCAAGTCCCCGACCTAGTGGCTTAAACTCACATTGGGTGCATGAGCATGCGTACGTGCATGCTCAAGATCCTGAGAGGAGAATGGAGGAGAAGGGATTGTGGTGTGGCCATCCCCCCAGGGGGTGATTTCTCGCTTTCTGTCTCTCTGTCTGTCTCTGTCTTTTTGGCGAGTGCATGCGCCCTATAGCAAAAACCTCTCAAGAAAACAAAACAAAAACAAACAAACAAAAAACAACACTTAACTACTGTTTTTCTCTGCATTCGGTTAACACTTTTTACAAGAATGCTCCCTGAAGAATAGTCTTTTACCAGTGACTGATGTCTGTTTTCTTCATGTTCCTGTTACAGGCTATGTGTATCTGCCCTAGCTATGGATAACTTTGCTGAGGGCGTGGGAGCCGTGTATGGCATGTTCGATGGGGACCGAAACGAGGAGCTCCCACGCCTGCTCCAGTGTACGATGGCAGACGTGCTTCTGGAAGAGGTCCAGCAGTCAACAAATGATACAGTTTTCATGGCCCACACCTTCTTGGTATCTCACAGGTAAGCAGGTGGGTCAAACAATCCCTAACTCAGTTCTATTTTGAGAAAATAAATGTCTCTAAGCCAGAAGGTCAGGCTCTGCATTGCGGTTGTAGAACCAACGTGGGGGAAGAGGGTCTTGTTCCTCCTTCCATGATCATTCTCTGCATCAGTGTAGAGCGTGGGAGCTTCGGATCTTTAAAGAGCCTATGGAGTTGGACCAGCAGTTAGCGTAATAGCTATGTCGTTGGACTCCCATGTAGCCAACCGCAATTCAAGTGGCAGATCCAGTGGCTTAAACTCACGCCGGGCATGTGTGTAAGCATGCCCAAGATCCCGAGAGGAGAATGGAGGAGAAGGGATTGCAGCTCATTTCTCACTTTCTGTCTCCGTCTCTCTCTGTCTTTCTGGTCAGCGCATGCACTCTATAGCAAAAACCTTTTCCCCCCCCAAAAAAAGAGCCTATGGGGTCATCTGTTTGTCTCTGTTGAACCTCTCTGCTGTGGCTCTGAGAGGCCCAGAGGTCATGTGCACGATGCCATGTGTGCACATATGTGTTTGTACGTTTAGGGGAGGAAGGCAGTAAGCTCTCGTGAGAGTTGGTGACCTACAAGATTAACTAGCACTGATCAGACTCATGTGTTTAGAATATTTGTTATGAGGGTGGGGGGTAAGGAGGTTACCTAATTCATTTTCTCATTAAAGCCTAAGCCACTTAAGGGCAAAAATGAAACCATTGAAAATCTTCTAGTAGCTAATGAAGTATCTTGCACCTTATGGGCTGCATACTGGACAGGAAAAACAGAGAGGCCATAAAGGTGTGCAGTTAAGGTTTGCACGGAACAGGCTGGAGCTTGACCTGGCTTTAGCTGTTGTTATAACACAAAGCAAGGTATTGGGAAAGGTTATTTTTCAGCAGTAGAATTGAGCTAAGACTTGGCAAAATAAAGGTTTTGGAAAAGGGAACTCAATTTATGAAGCATCTCCTAAGAGCCAGGCACCTGTCCCAAACATTTTTCATTTTCAGAACAAGCCAAAGAAGTAGGTATTATACCAGAGAGATTTCTTAGAGAAATAGCTTGCTGAGGATCTATAGCCAGGAAATGGTAGAGCCGGGATTTGAAAATGGGCTTTCCAGTAGTAGCCACTCTGTGTTAGTCTTGTGCACTGAGAGCAGGCAGCTGGATGCCTGGCCTGAGGAAAATACACAAAGAGCGGTGGCCTGACCAAGGAGTGAACAGCCCAAGTCGGAGCTTCTCAGAGTGCTGTTCCAGATCAGCAGCCTCAGCATCACCGGAAACATGTTGGAAATGCAAATTATCTGGTCAGACCCTTACCCTCCAAATCAGGAACTCCAAGGATGGGGTCCCCCAGGTGATTCTCACGTGCTGAAGTTCAGAAACCCCTGAGTCAGGAAGTCTGTTATCAGACAAAGGAACAGAGAAATAGGCACCATGTGCTCCCCAGGTCACGCCCACCCCTGCTTTTCTGTACTGCCTCTCTTCTCTGTCAGCCGAGAGTAGGAGGCAAAATCCCTTGATCACTATCACGTGAAGCAAGAGTCTGAGGCAAAATCCCTTGACCACTGTCATGCGAAGCAAGAGGCTGAGGCTGGTTCATGGTCACGCCATGGAGAAACAAGGAAAGGGACGGACATGAAGGATCACTACTTCTGAAACTAGCTACCACGTGTCACATCTTGGTTTATTTCTAAACAGGAAATTAGGGATGGCTGGCCAGAAGCTGGGCTCCTCTGCTCTCCTGTGCTACATCCGCCCTGACACTGCCGACCCAACAAGTAGCTTTAGCTTGACTGTGGCCAACGTTGGCACGTGCCAGGCAGTCCTGTGCCGAAGTGGGAAGCCAGTGCCCCTCTCCAAAGTCTTCAGCCTGGAACAGGACCCAGAGGAAGCCCGAAGGGTGAAAGACCAAAAAGCCATCATAACAGAGGTACATCTCACTCTCACCGGTCACTTTTATTCCCAAAGCTAGTGGAGCTGCTTTTCATAGAGGTAGTGAAGGCCCATTTTCTTCATGTCACGCCTTGTAAATTGTATAAAATCCAGATAAATGTTTAAGTCAGATGTTTTTTGTTAACAATAGAAGGAAGTTTACCAAGCAGGTAGTGACTTGCAAAAAGAAAACGCAAAGTTAATGAGAAATGAAAAATCCTAAGTTGGATCCTTTAAATGCATAGCCAGCATGTAAAGTGAATGTTAAGTGTCCCCTTAGCGAATTTCCTACTCTCTTGCTTTGTTATTCCACAAACCAGTTGCATGATGGAGACTTAAGCAAAAGAAGAAAGAGTTACACAGTTTGACATTAACATTTCAAAATTTCAAAATACTTTTTCTGTGTACACTCTCTATTGCTTAGTATGCTCTAGTGTGCTTTTTTAAAAATGAAGCATTAGTATTTCTATGATAATGCTTTATAGCACTTCTCCTTTTATAGAAATCGGCATAATTTATTTGCTTTCCAAGAGACCTTAACAATTGCATGTGAACATCATTTCCTGCAAAGCAGAATTCTCTTCAGATCTTTTGCCCATTTTAAAATGGATTGTTTGTTTCTTTATTGTTTAGTTTTAAGAATTTTTTGTGTATTTTGGAAACAAGTCCTTTATCAGATATTTATTTTGCAAATATTTTCTCCCTTTCTACAGTTTGTTTTTTTTTTGAGAGAGAGAGATTCCTGCTATAGGGCACGTGCACTCACTAGAAAGAAAGAAAAAGACAGAGAGACAGAAAGCGAGAAATCACCCCCTAGGGGGGGTGGCCATGCCATAATCCCTTCTTCTCCATTGTCCTCTCAGGATCTTGGGCATGCACACACACGCGTCTGGTGTGAGTTTAAGCCACCAGGTCTGGGACTCAAACCGCATTCGACTACATGGGAGTCCAGCCTTTACACCACCTGCTGGTCCCTCGCAGTTTGTTCTAAATGAAGTCTTTTGCAGGACAGAAGGTTTTTAAAAATTATTTAATTTTATTAACTATTATTATTATTTTGTTTGCTGTAGTGCACATGCATTCACTAGAGAGAGGCAGAAGGCAGACAGAGAGAGAAAGAGAGAGGGAAGGAAAGTGAGAAAGCAAGCTGCCAGGTCTGGGACTTGAACTGTGGTTAGTCATGTGGGAATCTAGCTAAGCCTTAACCACCGTGCCACCCATTGGCTCTAGTTGTTTGTTTGTTTGTTTTTAAGAATTATTTAATTAATTTTATTTGTTATCATTATTTTTTAATTTGACCAAGATAAACAGAGAAAGAGAAGTGAGAAAGCAAGTCACCAGGTCCAGGACCTGAACTGAGGTTGGCTAGGTGGGAGTCCAGTGCCTCAACCACCACGTCACCTAATGGCCCCAGAAGGGAGTCCAGTGCCTCAACCACCATGTCACCTAATGGCACCAGAAATTTTTAGTTTTAATGAAATTCCATGTATCAGTTTTATTTTCATAGATTAAACTTTTAATGTTATATCTAAAAATTCATTGTAGGCTGGCCCCCATAGTCTAGGGGTTAGGGGAGCCAGATCCCATATGTCCAACTGCAGTTAGAATCCCAGCTCCAGCAATTTGAAAAACGTGTCAGGGGTGTGTGTGTGTGTGTGTACGGTCCAAATCCCAACAGGATGGAGAAAATGGAAGAGAGGGGATTGTAGTGTGACTACATCCCATCGAAAGGGTGCTTTGTCTTTCCTCTCGCTGGTGAGTACACGTGCCCCTCTGGCAATTATAAATGAGTGAATGGTCATCAACAAATCCAGGATCACACCTAGGTTTTCTTCTGTATTATCTTCTAGAAATGTTATATTGGGTTGTCGGAAAAGTTACAACATAGTTTTCTATGTTTTTCTGTGCAAAAATATGTCATTTTATAACAGCTCAGTAGCTTTGTGTTTTAAATTTATGTTCACGGTCCATTTTGAGTTAGTTTTTGTGAAACATGAAGCTGTGTGTCTAGATGTACTTATTCCCCTGTGGACGTCTAGTTGTTATGGATAGCACCACTTGTCAAAATGACTCTCTTTCCTCTATTGTATTGCCTTTGCTGCTTTGTCAAAAATCAGTTGGTGGGACCAGCAGATGGCATAATGGTTACGTCGCTGGACTCCCATGTAGTTGACTATAGTTCAAGTCTGGGACCTGGTGGCTTAAAACTCATGCTGGGCACATGTGCCTGGGTGCTCAAAATCCTGAGAGGAGAATGGAGGAGAACAGATCGCAGTATAGCCATTCCCCCCTGTGGGGAGTGATTTCTCACTTTCTGTCTCTCTGTTGCTCTCGCTTTCTTTAACAAGTGCACATACTCTATAGCAAAAATCTCTCTTAAAAAAAAAAAATCAGTTGGCTGTATTTGTGTAGGTCAGAATTCTGTATAAGAGCTATATGTCCTAGAGTCCGTCCAAGAAAGCATAAAACCAGAAAGTTTTGTTTTTGTTTATTTTTAGATGTTTGCCACAAGGCACGTGCCCTTGCCAGAAAAAGAGACAAAGAGACGGAAAGTGAGGAACCAGCTCTCAGAAGGGATGACCACACTGCAGTCCCTTCTCCTCCATTCTTCTCTAGGGGTTTTGGGCACACATGCACACATGCCTCGTGTAATTTTCAAGCCACTGGATCTGGGACTTAAACCATGGAGTATGCCATATGGAAACCCAGCGCCTTAACTACCACACCACCTGCTGGCCCCTCCAGAAGATATTTTTATGTGGTTGATACAGTTGGTATTCTGGGTGTATGAGACATTCGTTTTAGGAAAGTCTTTCAGGCATATATAAAAAGGTTATTTTTACAGAAATTAGAAAATGTCATTTAGATTATTCTTATAGGTCCTAGAACAAATAGGAAATATTTAGTGGTTATTTTAACCACAAACATTTGTTGTTTGCCTATTATGTGCCCATCATCATACCTTTATATCCCTATGAACGAAATACTTTTACTCTCATCTTACAGATGAAGAAAATAAAGTTTAGAGTTTATGGAAAATTCTGTGTAGTAAGTGAGAAGCCGAGATTTTCACCCAGTGAGTAACTGCAGCAGTGAAATTTATTGATGACTTTAGAGGTTTTTTTGTTTTGTTTTTTGTTTTTCCTTGAGCAGTTGGTACGCAGTGCCTGGCATAGAAACATTTCCATGCTGCAGTCAGGGTTCCTCTTTTCCTCTAAGTTTAGAATTACTTGGATTTGGGGCCAACAGGTGACATGCTGGTTAAGGTGCTGGACTCCCACATGGCCAGCTGCAGTTCAAGTCCTGGACCTGGCAGCTTGCTTTCTCACTTTCTCTCTCTCTCTCTCCCTCTCTCTCTCTTGTGCCCTGTAGCAAACTGAAAAATAGTAATAATGACTAACAATTAAATAAAAATACATGGATTCAGATTTGATGTGCTATTCATTCTTGACACAGTCCTTTCAGAATAGGTAAATTATGGTATAGATTTCAGGCTTTCCTTTTCTAGGCTAAATAATCTGAGAGATTATTTAATGCGTTAGTTACCAAGATACTCCAAGCCATTTGTTACCTTTTGGTCCCAGCTGTGCCTCTAAGTGATACGTCATTCTTAGTGACCCATCTGAGCTGTAGCCTCTCTGAGAGTCTCAGCAATGGAGAATTAATGACAGTCGTGCTTACTGTCTTTCTAATGCATGCTTTTCTCTGTAAGGAAAGGCTGAGGTCTGTCCCTCATATTAGAGCAAATATCCTTGGAGATGGTGGTGCTTTTTAGTCGGTCACTTTTTATTGGGTTTGACCTCTGTCCTCTGAACTATTTGGTAGAATAACCATGTGGTATTTTGTCTTACTAGAATTCTCTACATTTATTTTTGTTAAGTTCACTTAAAATTATACTGATCCTGAAAAAAGTCACGTAACATGTGCATTCGGTTTTATTGTAGGTCCCTAAACATTGTGACCTCGAATGTTACAGTGCTGCCTCTCACTGTTGCTTGTTTGTCAAAATTTGTGTTCTGCTCATCCCTAGGACAACAAAGTAAATGGGGTAACCTGTTGTACCCGGATGCTGGGCTGTACATACCTCTACCCGTGGATCCTTCCCAAGCCCCACATATCTTCCATTCCCCTCACCATTCAAGATGAGTTGCTGATTCTGGGAAACAGAGCCCTGTGGGAACACTTGTCATATACAGAAGCTGTCAGCGCAGTGCGTCATGTCCAAGACCCATTAGCCGCTGCCAAGAAGCTCTGCACGTTAGCACAGAGCTATGGTTGTCAGGACAACGTGGGGGCAATGGTGGTTTATTTGAACATCGGTGAGGAAGGCTGCACTTGCGAGATCAATGGGCTCACCCTCCCAGGGCCTGTGGGATTTGCGTCAACCACCACCATCAAGGATGCCCCCAAGCCAACCACTCCCTCCTCCAGCAGTGGGATTGCCTCTGAGTTCAGCAGTGAGATGTCCACATCGGAAGTGAGCAGTGAAGTGGGGTCCACTGCTTCTGATGAGCATAACACTGGCGGCCTGGAGGCCGGTTTGCTTCCAAGGCCAGAGAGACGCTGCAGCCTCCATCCCACACCCACCTCTGGGGTCTTTCAGCGCCAGCCTTCCTGTGCCACCTTCTCCAGCAATCAGTCTGACAATGGTCTGGATAGCGACGATGACCAGCCTGTTGAAGGGGTCATAACCAATGGCAGCAAGGTGGAAGTAGAAGTCGACATCCACTGCTGCAGAGGACGTGATCTGGAGAACCCCCCAACTCCCACAAAGAGCACTCCTGCCCCTGGTCCCGAGGAACATGCCCGAGGGTCATGTTTTGGGATCCGAAGACAGAACAGTGTGAACAGTGGCATACTTCTGCCTATGAGCAAGGACAGGATGGAGCTACAGAAGTCTCCCTCCACTTCCTGTCTCTATGGAAAGAAACTCTCCAATGGCTCGATAGTGCCCCTGGAAGACAGCCTGAACCTCATCGAAGTGGCCACAGAAGCACCCAAGAAGAAAACCGGCTATTTTGCTGCCCCCACTCAGCTAGAACCGGAGGATCAGTTTGTTGTACCTCGTGACCTGGAAGATGTGGTGAAGGAACAAATGAAACAGCACCAGGAAAGCAGGCCAGAGCCCGAGCCCAGTGAAGAGGATCGGACCGAGCCCCCGGAGGAGTTTGACACAGCGCTGTGATTCTGTCCCAGTGGGCGCCTTGTGAGCGAAGGCTTGTGGTGTTGGGGCAGGGACCCTCCGGGGCGTTTCTAAGCCGTAGATGTGTGGGGTGAAACTCAGAGCCAGGAGAGGTGAGCGCTATCAGGGTCTGGCTCTGGATGAGCTAGTAGCCACCATCAGTGTTAAGTTCGCATTTAACCTGCATTGGAATTCCCAGCATTCCTGGGAAGAGAGCAGATGTTCTATCAGTCCTGCCACCTGCCATTAACCCTTTCTCTCCTAGGATCACTTTGAGAATTTGCCTGCCTGGGCAGGAAAGGGACTATTTCTGTGGAGGAAATACCTGAAGATTGATTCCCTTTACTAATTGCTGCTGATGGATCTCTGTGACAGAGAAATCACCTTATCTCTCAGACTAATGGGGCGTGATGTGACTAGTCACATGGCTTTTCATTCTTCTCTACGAGAATACAGCCTATCAAATGATGTTTATTGGAAATGTAGAACCAATCAAACAGATAATTTATGTATGTAATGTAATGAGAGCACTTTTCATTGACTGTGAACTTTTTATTTTTGAATCTGCACTCGAGCCAATCTTCTCTGAGGCAGCCTAGCACCTCTGTCCATAGGCAGAAAGCTGTTCAGGTGTTGGAGCCTTCTCTGAGGGAACCAGGAAAAGCCCTGGGAAATCGATCTCACTGGTGGATGCCAGATCGTGAAAGCTCCTGATGCACTTGGGGTAGTAGGGTCTTCTTTTGAGGATGAAGATGGGGAGGGAGCAAGGACCAAGACTAGCCCCCCCTAAAAGCAGAAAGAATGAATTATTCCTTGATGACTGTGACACCTGCTAGGAATTGCCCAGAGATCTCAAGGGAAGAATTTGGGGACTGGCCTCTTTCCCCAGTGAGTGGTGTTGGCCATCAGCTTCCTATTAGATAGGGCCAAGGCTGGTACTACTCGCATCCCAGTAACCTTGAGTTACAGTGGGTGACTCTGGAAAAGACCAAGGCCGATGGGAACAGATGGGTGGATGGAGCTCTTGGGGCAGGCATGTTCCTTCTCTTACTCTAGAGCAGAGGGATGGATTTCTAGAATGCTGGGAGGGAATTGAGACCTCCCCTTTGAATATTTAACAGTGTGCTCTTCTGAAAACCACTTGTCACCTCACGTGGTTTCAGAGTACTGGGCTCAATACTAGTGTAAGAGTTTGAACTGAGAAATTCCCAAGCTTACAGAAAGCCTTGGTGTGTTTTTGTTTTTGTTTTTTTCACATTCCATGCAACCCTAGCAAAACATAGTTCCTTCCGTATTTCTGTCGCTTATTCTATTAGAAGATATACTTGGAAAATTAATTCTTATTTATTCCAACAAAATTTTGGCATCATTAGATTTTACTCAGTAGGAAATGTGCTTTGAATTTTTGGAACACTTACAGAGTTAAAAAGAAAATAAAGTGGAATCATTTTTAATTTGTTTCATCAAAAAGAAAATGTTAAAGATAGGGTTGAATATATCAATAAATATTTGTGTGTGTGTATTTTAGAAGTTTTTGTTCAAAGCAATAGTCAAAAACCAGATGACCTATCCACGATGGTTAGGTTAGGTATCTTCATCTATCTTCTCAGAGGCCTGGTGCCCGTGCATGTGTCAGATGGGCACACCCTTGGAGGACTCTGTACCACTCCGACGGCTGTTTAATCCCTCAAGAATCTGAACTTGAGTCCCCAAATTGTCGGTAATACTTGACCTCCCTTGTCACACTACTGCTCAGCTACTGCAAAACTTCAGAACTCAGGTCTTTGATTTGAAGTAGGGAACACGGTGGCTCATACAAAGTTTAGGTGCTCTTAGAAAGATGGGAACAATAGTGCGTTGCCACCTTATTTTTATATGGGACAATGAAGAAAAAATGAAAAATCAGGAAAAACCCAAGATGATAGATCATGATGGCTGATGTAAAACATTTTCCCACTCAGACAGCAGAACCTTTGGGTTATAGAATAGTGATATTGTCTAAAAATGAAAGATTTGGGGAATATACCACTTTAATAGCAGAATTTCCTAAAAATTCCTTATCTGTGAACCCTTTTCTTGACTTCTATTTGTGTCTTACTCTACTTATTGCAACCACCTCAAAACTCAGTTCTTAAATGACTTCACCGAAGGTGAATGTAGAGCAGAATTCTGAAATCTCAAATGTTCTTTTATGTGGTAGAGTTGTTTTTAGGAACACCATTAGGTGTATGGAAAACCTTTAATACAGACTATAACCAAAACTGATTATTCTTTTCTTTACAGTCTCTTAATTCATGTCCTTCTCCAGTTTCTCTGTACTGAAACAGAGGGTAAAAAGGCCATAGTCTCTTACCAAAAATACGATACAGAACTCCTTTGACCCGTGAGGTAATTTACAGACATTGTATTAGCCAGACAGGCTGTCAGTTGGTGAAAGCCAGTCATCTGTGTCCAGGTGAATGCAGTCTTCTTCCCAGTACTTGACCCAAGGATGGGTCCCGCAGGTGGGCAGAGTACTGCGATCTCCAGCTCGGAGATTCTGGCCTTTGTGTGATTCTCAGGTCACTGTGTGTACCTCCCATTTGAGAAAAGTTTCAGAGAATTTCTGAAAGAAGAACACTCCTGATTACTCCAGTTCAGGAGTCCCATGGAAGGAAGAAAAATCCATGTGTCTTGGTAGCCATGGTATTATTTTTATCCAAATAGACTGGAAATGTATTTGAACGTTTGAATGTTGGTATGACCTAAAGCTGCAGTGATACGGTAGAGTCCAGTCATTGAATGAGCACTCCTGATCATGCGAGGGCTTTATTCCACTACTGTAGAGTGTATGTGTGCAATAAGGTGGTGAGTTCACTTTCCTGGTATACAGGGGAGCCAAAAGGAGCAGCTCGGTAATCCCTGGGTGCTATTCCAGTTGCTTGCAGCGAGTACTATTTACCGGGAGGTGAACCCAGTTAGGTCTGGCCGATCTACTGAATATCAAATGATGAGCTTCTTTCTGTGTAGACCTTCAGCAAAAGCAGGTACTTGGAAGCCACAGGCTCACCTTCTCTATCTATCCAATAATTACTAATGACGAGACCTCCTTAAGGGAGCTCTTGGCTATAATCGGTAAATGTACCAATTACTAAATAATTAGTCTCCAAGCCATTCGGTGATGTCTGCAGCATCACCGTAGAACTGTCTTGTCACTTTTTACCTCCCTCTGGGTGGAGCCCTTCAGACTCCCCAATCATGGAGGCAAGTCAGTCTTTCTCTCCAGTAAGTGACTTTTGCCCCGTCGTTGGGCAGGCACTTCCTTGACTGAGAAAAGCAGCTACAGTAAACCCTGCTGTTTCCCTCCTCTGGTGATCAATCACACATAAGCTCCCTGTATTCTCAACTCCATGCACTTCTCCCGATGCTGTAGGGTTTCTCTCACTGTTGCCAATGGGTGTCATCCAGACAGTGGGCTCATATCTTATGGTTTTGTGCAATCATTGTCGTATTGTAGTCCTAAGACTCATTATAGTGTATTTTTGATATTTTTGAAATGTGTTAAATTTTTTAATTCAATAATATGAGCCAGAGCATGTTGCAGCAAATCTATTATTTGTAAAAAATAACAATACCAATAATAAATGAATAAAATGGAATATCTTTTTCATGGCTTTGTTTTAACATATTTTATACTTTCTAGGAAGCTATACTCTTCTCTCTTATCACCTGTATATAGAATCAGGTTCTTAATCAGAAGCACCTTTAGGATTTTTTTGCTTTTTCTTGCCTTAGGGGAAGATAAACAAGGACAAACTTACGAAAGCACGTTCTGTAGCCCTCTGTGAAGCTGTGACTTAAGGCAAGAAGAAGTAATTTGACCAACTTTTCAGCAGAAATAGTAATAAGTAATTTTTAATATTTTAAAACAATTTCAGGTTTTTGCCATAGGGCGCATACATGTGCTTGCCAGAGAGAGAAAAGAAAGTGAGAAATCACCTCCCAGGGTGGGTAGCCACACTGCAACCTCTTCTCCTCCATTGTCCTTTGGGATTTTAGGCATGTGTACCCAGCATAATTTTCAAGCCACCAGGTTCAGGACTCGAATTCTGAGTCAGCCATGTGGCAGTCCAGTGCCTTAACCACCAGTTGAACCATCATATGTTGGGGATCGTCTGTATTTACATGTAGGTTATGAGCCGACTAGAATAAAATCATAAAGAAATCATAGAGATAATGATCCAGGGGAGTTAAGTGGGTAAGTTAGCCATTTTGGTTTTCAGAACTGAGTGGCTCTGGTGTTAGAACATCAGGGCTGGTCCATAAGTGGTTGAGTGCTGTGCACAGGAGCCGTATCCCACGGGCCAACCACAGTTAGAACCCTGATCCTGGTGGCCTGAAACACTTGCTGTGTGTGTGTGGTGTGTGTATATGTGTGTGTGCATGCTTACCCCAGATCCTGATAGGATCAAGAAGTAGAGGGAAAGGATTGCAGTGTGACCACGCCCCCATTGGAGGGTGCTTTGTCCGGTGAATGCACATACCAGCTGGCAATAAAAAAATTAATTATGCTACAAACATCTTTGGGGACCAACCAATGGTATAATGGTTATGTTGCTGGACTCCCACATAGTCAACCATAGTTTGAGTCCCATACTGGGTGGCTTAAACCTCACACTAGGCACATGTGCTTTGTGCCCAAAACCCTGAGAGGAGAATGGAAGAGAAGGGATTGTGGGGTGGCCAACCCCCCTGGGGGGTAATTTCTCACTTTCTGGTGAGTGCACATGCCCTACAGAAAAAAATCTCTCTTAAAATATTCGGACCAACAAGTGGTGTGGTGATTAAGGTGCTGGATTCCCACATGGTCTATTGTGGTTCGAGTCCCAGACCCAGTGGCTTGAAACTCATATCAGGCATGTATGCATGCATGCCCCAAATCCTAGGAGAATGGAGGGAAAGGGATTGCTGTATGGCCATCCCCTGGTGGGGTGATTTCTCACTTTCCCTCTCACTGTCTCTGTCTCTGGCAAGTGCACATACCCTGTGGCAAAAAAACAAATAGATCTTCAGGTGTAGTGGTGAATATTGACTTGGCGACATTTAAAATCCCGTAAACCTCTTAGTTACTGCTCCCCACTCTTCCTATGTTGGGTGTCTCCCATATTTCTGGACTTCCAAAGAAAATTAGCCACATCGTACCCTAAATAAAAGTCAAGTTAGTTATTAATGTTTTGCAGATTTCCTCTTCACCTAGCAGAATGAACATTTTTTTTTTTCCGTTTTGTAATTTGTGTGTGTGTGTGCGCGCGCGCGCGCACGCGTACACCAGAAGGTGCTGGATTCCCACATGGCCAACTGTGGTTCAAGTCCTGGATCAGGCAGCTTGTGCATGGGTGCCCAAAATCCAAGAGGAGAATGGAGAAGTTGTGGCATGGCCATCCCTTCTGGAGGGTGATTTCTCACTCCCCCCCACCTCCAGCAAGCACTGGAGGGTGATTTCTCACTCCCCCCCACCCCCAGCAAGCATATGCGCCCTATGGAAAAAAACCTGAAAAAAAAATAGTAATAGCATATGCACAGGTACGTGTGTGAGAGAGGAAAAGAGAAAGCACTGTTGATGGTCATCACACTGCAGTTCCCTTTCCCCAGCCCTCCAGATCCTGAGTGGTCACATGCGTCCCCTGAGTGTTTTCAGGCTGACCCAGGATCTGAACTGCAGCCACTTACAGCACCAGCCACTTACAGCTCCATGGCGATGGGCCTTGTAGAACGAGCATTTTAAAAAGAGTCCAACACCTGTTCATTGAGCACCTTCAATTTGCTGGGTATCGTCTACTTTAATGCCTTAGTTCGGTGAGACACACTCCAGCCTAGTCCAGGGTGGCAGAAATGAAATCCTCTGAGTATGCACTTTGCTTTGGGTGCTGTTAATTCCCGGGCTCCCCAAAGGCTGCAGAGAGCTTTAGTCACTCAGCTCACACTCCAATGTGTGATTCGCTGGGTCTGAGTTTTGCCTCTGCTGCTTAAGTATTGTGACTTTAGGCAAAAGAATTAACCTCCAGGGCTGATTTTCTTATCTGTTAAGTAGAAATAATATTTGTCATCAGCTGATGCCTTAGTCCATTTTTATGCTGCTAACAGAGATACCTGAGACTGGACAATTGATAAACAAATGAGGGGTGTATTTACAGCACTCATGATTCAGGTGAGTAGAAAGTCCAAAGGCAGCACAAAATGGCTTTAGTCAGAACTTCTGCCAGAACGCAGCATGGCCCGTTATCCGTGTGGCTTTCTCTTGGCTGTTCTCTCGTTCTCTGTTTATCCACCCATCAGAACTCGGTCAGGGACCCCACCCTAATGACCTCATCACACCCAGAGGCCCCACCGTGGACATCATAAAGAATTATTCCCACTTGACACTTTTACAATATAATCAAGTCCCAAAACACACATTTCTGGAGAACATTTAGTCACCTCCAACCAAGTTCAAATTTCCAAAACACGAATCATTTGGGGACAAACCATTATCCGAACTGTAACAGTTGGACTGAGCTTAATGAGAAGATACAAAGTGCCTCTTCAGCACGGACTGCCTGGGCACAGTGAGCACTCAGGGAAACACACATACTGCCAAACCACTGATGCTTCTCGAATTTTGTCTCCTCTGTGCACTGAATAGTAGACCTCGGCCTGTCTCCTGTGTGCACTGAGTAGTAGACCTTGGCCTCTCTCCTCCTTCTCTCCTCCTCTGTGCACTGAGCAGTAGACTTCGGCCTGTCTCCTCTGTACACGGAGTAGTAGACCTTGACCTCTCTCCTCTGTGCACTGAGTAGTAGACCTCGGCATGTCTCCTCTGTGCACTGAGCAGTAGACCTCGGCCAGTCTCCTCTGTGCACTGAGTAGTAGACCTTGGCCTCTCTCCTCCTCCTCTCCTCCTCTGTGCACTGAGTAGTAGACCTTGGCTGTCTCCTCTGTGCACTGAGCAGTAGACCTCGGCCAGTCTCCTCTGTGCACTGAGTAGTAGACCTTAGCCAGCTGGCCAGCCTGACAAGTGGCAGTGAAGGAGTTAATGCCTTTGAATGGTCCAAACTACAATGTGGACGCGTTGGTATTAGTCATTCATAGGCTCCAGTCACTTAGGAGCTGCTTCTGAGGAATGTCATTGCTGGGCCTGGCACTAAGGTGGAGCCAGCTGGGCCAAAGTCCCCATTTTATAGAGCATAAGATCCAGCCGTGGGCAAAGATCTAAAATGTTTCAGGAAATAAACTGTAGATGAGAATTGGTGGGGGGTAGGTAGGTTGATTTTTGCTATTAAACATCTTACCTCCCCCTAAGAATTGTGCAGGGCTCGAGCCACACTTCTGGTTGAAGGTGAGAGAGGAAGTAGCCTTCGGGGTACAACTTCTTATTTTAACCTAGTACTGCAGGTTTTTAGCTGACTATTCTCCTCCAAGCTTTACTTCTTATAAAAGTATGATTCAGATATTTTCTTATTTCTGTGTGAAGTTTAGTTTTATTCCTTCATCTTAGCTAGGTTCCAAAAGAACCACTGAAAAGCAAGAGGACAATTAAAAAAAAATCTATATGGGGAGGACCAGCTTATGGCATAGTAAAGGTTAAATCGCTGGACTTCTACATGGCCGACGATGGTTCATATCCTGGACCCGGTGACTTGAGATTCACAACAGGTGCATGTGTTTATGTGCCCAAAATCCTGAGAAGAGAATGGAGAAGGGATTGAGGCATAGCCATCTCCCTGGGGGGTGATTTCTTGCTTTCTGTCCCTCTATTTCTCTGGCAAGTGAATGTACCCTGTAGCAAAAAATCTAAAAAAAAAAAAACAAAAACAAAAAAACTATATGGGGCCAGCAGGTGGTGTGTTGGTTAAGGCACTGGACTCCTACATGGCTGACCACAGTTCAAGTCTCAAACACTGCAGCTTAAAAATCACTTCAGGTGGGACCAGCATTTAGTGTAATGGCTATGTTGCTGGACTCCCATGTAGTCGACCACGATTCCCGTCCCGGACCTGGTC